CATACTCTACCCTCCTTCTCTTCGCTCCTACTCGTCTTCTCTCCTTGTTGCTTTCCTTAGACCTTCTTCTCACTTCCTTCTCCGCCCCCCACGAATCCCTGCTTCCCTATTGTCACTGTCTTGTTGGTCCTGGAAAGATTGCCATACCTTCTGCCCATCATCATCATTCACCGCTCGTTATTTTTGTTCCCCTCTTCAGCTCGGTCGCAGTTTTGACTTTAACCCATGGCATGCTAGCATGCGAGATGCGGTCGTGGACACGACGCTGGTTACTGGGCCTTGTGCTGTACTTCGCTGGATTAGGACTTCACAGAGGACTGCAAGTTGAAGCGCTGCATCGAGAACAAGATCCGTCCAGACTCTTGTCAAGAGATCAAACATGGCGCGCAAGGATCACTCGACATCAGCATGGGCTCCGACTAAAGGGGGGGATCAGTGAAGATGACAACTTTCCCTCCGACAGCGTTGGGAGATTTTCAAGTTCCACAGCTGAGCATCAGGCTGGTAGAGTCGAGCAGGTGAGAGGAGGCGCAAGTTGACCATGATGTGACAAGGAACATAGCACTGCGACGAGAATATTCCCAGGGTGTACCGAGCCAAGTGGTCGAGGTAGGGACGAGGAAGCGTGGCAGGAGGTCTGATGGCTCAGTGATAGCACGTGGAGTCAACTCGTGTACCGATTCTCTTCCGTATCGATCGCCATCATCTCGCTTGCAGTGGTGTGGAACAAGGTAGAGATCACTCGGACACTTGTAAGATGTCAACCTGACCATGAGTTGATCCCGTTGCGATCCTTCTCTATCGCTCAGTCCGTGAAGTATCCATTCTTCGAACCTTACGTCCAACCAACCTCGCTTATAAGTATCTCCATCTTCGTATCATTTTTCCGCAAGGCCGCGTCATGGCTTATCAGAGCTCTTGTCTTCCGTCGAATCGCTCACTTCGGTGAAGGGACTCAGTTGACTTCAACGCCTGATGCGGGCTTGCAGTGCTCGCTTTTTTCATCCTGCCTGGTCCTTGGCTCATGGGAGAATCGTCGCTTGAGGCTGTCCATGTAAACTTGTTCATGGCCGGTACAGGTCAGTGATGGAAGAGACGCAGCTGAAGGGATCGACGATGAGGAAGTTCAAGGACGACATCAGACAGAGGAACGGGGCTTGTTGGGGTTTGTGTGTTGTGACCTGGTTCCTGGTATTTGCAGATGCAAGATCGGAAGGACAATAATGGAGCAAGACTTGAATGGAGTTGACATCAAGATCATCACAGCCGGTATGACTAACGGGGGATCGGTGCCCGGGCCCTGATTTCTTTGAAGACGGCGAACCGCTAGATGCAATGTTTTTCCGCTCCAAGGTGAATCCCACTATCTTGTCAGCGCTGTAGAAGACTGGTGATTGTGCGATGAAGAACAACACACTTGGAGGTCCGACGATGGTGCGATTCAACGGGAATGCGGAGGTAATGTCATTGGCTGTCTGCCTGCAAAAGGATGAGAACACTCCTTGACATTCATCATACAGGCTTTTGAGATGCTCGACAACAGCCTGGTCATCTTGAGTGACTTTCTGCGTGTTCCCTCCTCACCTTCAATCAGATTCGTCTGTATCTCCGCGCGGGCTGCAACGTCATGCTGTGCAATTACAGAGGTTTGTTCTTACACATGTGTGATCCGGCCTGACCTGGAGGACAGGAGTCAATCCAACTCGACGGAGCAGAAAGTTCGATGCGTCATACTCCACTTCCAGGGATCTGAAGCTCAAGGAGGACTCGTCAATACTGCAGAAGACTGTAGGGAAGTTCGTGAGGTACCATCACCATCCCGCCTCCCGTTCACCCTTCCTGAAACTCAACGCTCGCAAAGAAAGCTGGAGAGGCTTGTCAACTGGTGTGTAGTGACGGAGAGAGATAGTATGATCTTGGACGCTGAGGCTGTGGTGACGGCTCATCGCTGCGCTCCTGCACCCTGACATTCCTTCAGCTGCAGTATCTCATACGAGTTCACCAAGTGCGGAGGTCGCGGTGATCAGAACCAGCGCAGATGTCTGTGTGTGATGGTGTGGGACAGGCTGTTGGTCTTCGGACATTCCATTGGGGGTGCAGTGGCTGCTATTCTCTCGGACAAGTACCAGGTGATAGGAGGACGACTGAGGTGTTTGCATCTCATGGGTGTGCGGCAACAGACTCCGACATGCAACAGCCGATCCTTCGCCAGGCTGTCCAAGATTGTGAGCATGATGACATCGCAATTTTTGTGCCGGTGGCCCAGCTGAGAAAGTAACAACTAGGTTGCGATCCATGGATCTATGGTTTTGTCGCAGATATTTCCCTTCCTGCCCCTCCTTCCCTTCAAGTTTGTTTTCCGAGCCTTGTGACTGCAGCACTGGGTCAACCTGAAGAGATGACAGCTGCTAACAGGTGCTGGTTGCTCTGTAAGGTGAGTGGGTGGGAAATGGAAGTGGCACGACGATGGCCAAGAATTTGCCGAAGCAAATGGACGGGTAGGGCTGAAGCCACCAACAATCGCAAGAGACTAACGTGGCTGACGGTAGAGTACTGTGTCGGGGACAAGATTATCCCTTACACATGCTCGCTGCATCACGCCGTGCACAAGGTAGAGGAGGCGGAGCTCAAGTGGTTGTAGACCTGCTAACGAGCCGGGAAGATGAAGGGAGACGTCCCAGCATCAGGTTCCAAGGGCAGTTCCCTCTCCCTGGAGGTGCTGGATGCCGACAATCATAACAGGTGAGGGCTGCTGGGGAGCAGTTCAGGGATGACCAGCCGGCCAGGATCTACACCAAGACTGAGCTAGCAAAGCATGTCAGTTTGATGCGCAGAGCTCTGAGGCTTTCAGCTCGAGCGTGAGGGAGAGGAGGACAAGGGTCGACTGATTTACACACCAACACACGATTTTACTTGACAAAAATGAATCAACGTCACGAGTATCTTTAGAGATACCAACGAGACGGAAAGCAACACTGAAAGCTGGACGGCTGCTCTCAAGGTGCTTACATGCCTCTGACCGCTGAACTGCTTCTGAGCCCGGGCCTGCATCCTGGCGTTCCTCCTGCACTTGCCCTGCCTCTGGGAGCTGCTGAGCGTCTTGGCGTTCCTCCTGCACTTGCCCTGCCTCTGGGAGCTGCTGAGCGTCTTGGCGTTCCTCCTGCACTTGCCCTGCCTCTGGGAGCTGCTGAGCGTCTTGGCGTTCCTCCTGCACTTGCCCTGCCTCTGGGAGCTGCTGAGCGTCTTGGCGTTCCTCCTGCACTTGCCCTGCCTCCGGGAGCTGCTGAGCTTCCTGGCGTTCCTCCTGCACTTGCCCTGCCTCTGAGACAGCTGGGAGACATCACCTCAAGATTGTTGAAGCTCATCCTTGTGCTCGCTTGGCTTCGAGACTTGACCTTGAACCACACGCTATTTTCCTGGTGCGCTGAAACATCGATCATTTTCTCATGGAAGGCCGTGGCGAATTGCAAGATGCATTCCAACTCATCGGTGCAGAGCTTCTGAATTTGCCTCCACAAGCGCTCCGGGATCGTGATCATGTCCAAGTCTCTCTCCTTCAGAGTCTTCTTGAGGACCACGATAATGAAGTTTTCCAACGTCATGGACCTGTATGGCAGCTCCTGGTTGTCCTGACTAGAATCCATCCCCAGTTGCTCACTCCAACGCTCTTGCATACTCTCTGGCGAATGCCGGGGCCTGTTGATCCTCCTGATCAGCGGGCTTTCTTCATCGCTTCCATTTTCTTGGCTTATCTCTTCTCGTCTCCTCTTCCTTTGGTTCATCTCTGTCACGCAGCCCTGCCTTGCCAAAAGCCTCGTTTGACCCTCGTGCTGCTGCTGGACGTCAGTCTCCTCCTCCTCCTCCTCCTCCTCCTCCTCCTCGCCTCCAGCCTCCTCCTCCTCATTGCCTCCAGCCTGCATCTCCTCGTCCTGGCTGTCCTTCTCCTCGTCCTGGCTGTTCCCATCCTCGTCCTGGCTGTCCCCATCCTCGATGTCCCCTTCCTCCTCCTCCTCGCCCCTATCCTCTTCCTGCTCGCTTTCAGCCTCTTTTGTCTGCATGCTTTCAGCCCTGTCATTCGTCCTGTTCACAACGTTGACCTGCACTACCGTCCCGTCATGCTCATGCTCTTTGATGTATGTCTCCTCAACTATCTCCATCTCCACCTCCACTTTCTCCTCGTCGCGTTCCTGCAGCTCCTGCTGAAGCTCATTTTGCCTTTTCGTTTTCTCTTCCACTTCGTCCTGCCGCAAGTTCATTACCCGGGGTTGTGTGGAGTAGAGCACCTGCTGCTGGTCCGCTTGCCCCTCTTCCTCCTCTTCAGTATCCTGTTCATCCCCATTTCTTCTCATCTCTCCTTCCGGCCGTACATTGAAGAGCCTCGACTGATCATTGCTTGTCTCTGTCGGCAGCTGAGGGTGTCTCTTACCAGCTTCTGCACCCTCCGTGACCCCACGCAGACCCGCTGGTGGGTCAGCGGCAACTGTTGATGTCCGAGGCCGGTTTTGAAAGGATGACCCTGCAGGTGCCGATTCCGATGGCATCGACTCTTTGAGCGCCGAGCAGACCACTCCTTCTCCTCTCCGTTGGGCAACGAATGCCAAGTCAAGACATATGTTCTTGAAAATTTCGATGTCACGTTCATCGACGTCGCTCTTGCTCATCAAGTTTGACATGTGAGATGCCCTCTCCTGACGTGACATGGTCAATTTCTTCGTCCTGATTAGGTCCTCCATCTCGTCCTCATAAACGATGACGAAGGTTCCGTCGTCAAGGGAATTGGGCATCTTGAAGCAGTAGCCGTGCTTCATCACATCATGTTGAATGCACGGCAAACCCTCAAGCTCCTTGATGATGCTGTCAGCCTGCAAACTCTCGCGTGAACAAAAATGCGGGATTGGATTCGAGATCACCGTCGAGACAGTTTGCGTCTCCGCAGGATTTGACGCGTTGGATCCGCTGCTGTCACATGCAGTCAGGCCATGGGAGAGGGAGAATCCATTTCACCTCTCGCTTTCCGGGGAAGAGGTGTCCTCGCTCTCACGGTTCTCAGTCTCTTTCCTTGTCTTCGATCCGCTCCCATCCCTATGCGAGCCTCGTCAGCGTTTGCGTGATGGGAGGGACAGAGTCCTTACTGTGGTTGCGATGGATCAACTGAGTCACCAAGAGCCAAGGCAACTCCGGCTCCAGCTGCTTCAGAGCCTGTTGCCTCACTCTCTCGACGCTTCTTGATAGAGCTGCAATCATCTCAGGGGCGGCAGGGAGGAAACGACAACCTACTGCTCTCCCTCGTCGTCTTGCTGTCGTTTCCTTTTGTTGGACGCGGATGAGTCGCTGGTGGGCCAAGAGTGATGAGGAGCGCGAGGGACTAAATTGTTTGACTCACCCCCTCATCGTTGTGCTCGCCGTCGAGCCTTTACCCGAAAAATCGCTCAACCATGACTCGATCAAACTGCAATGCCATCAGCTTCTAACCCCGCAGTCATCCGCTCATAACCTCTGCTTGATGATGTCATGGACGGAGGCTGTATTGTCGCTGCATCATGAAAATCAGCTTCAGCTGGTGGTTTCGAAACCCTCGGCTTACTCTTGGTTTTCGACCGTTCTTGGGGCTGCAAAGGAGGTCGAGCTTGGTTGACCTCGCGCAGCCAACTTCATTTTCATGGACAGCCTATGCTTTCTGCTCCAGAGGTTGAAGAAGTGCAACACGTTGCTGCGAAACTGTTTGTGCTGCTGTTTGATAGGCTTGCGCAACAAAAAGCTTCTCATCTCGTTCTCCTCCAAGTCCTCGCTGTCGCCATCATGATAGATGATGCGGTAGAGCGGGGGCTCAGTTGCATTTCCGGGCAAGACGCCGGTCACCTGCGACAGTTATGAGGATTTGAAGGATAGAGCATCTGAGATGACAGCGCACCAGGCCAAGGTAATCCTTCTTGAAAAAACGCTTGACAACATACTTGCCCAAATACCTGCGGCTGCCTTTGTAAAATTTTTTTTTGGCGTGGAGGTCAAGGGCAACAAACTCCTTGCGATCCGAGATGTTCTGTGATTCAAGATCATTGTTGATGTTGGAGTCGTCGAAGATGTACTCCATTGCAATGTTCTGCATGCCTTCCATCCTGAAGGTTCGATTGTTCTCCGTAAGGTTCGAGATGTTTGATTCGTAGATGAACACGAAGAAGTGCGGGCCCAAGATAGGACGTACAACTGAAGAACTCTAAGCACGGGAGGGACGGGAGGGAAGGGATGGAAGGGAGGGTAGAGGAAGTTGCGAGGGTTGGTGGGGGGGAGCTACTTGCGTGGGAGGGCAGGAGAGTTTGGCGCAGGTGATGGGTCCCAGTCTGAAGTAGGGGAGATAAGCCTCTCAAGGGGATTTGCAAGGGGCTCTAGAAAGGGTGGGTGGTCAAACAGATGATGATGTTTGGGGCCGTGAATGGGTGCTACCAGCGGTAGTTACAGCTTCCTACAAGGGTGGTGGGGTGGAGGAGAGACATTGACAGGGTAGTTGAGGGAGGGTGGGGTAGGGCTCCATCCTGACGGTCAGGCGGCAGTGAAGCATGTACGCACGGTCGGAGTTTGACCAGCAGTGGGGGCCCTCAGAGTATGACCACCGACTGAGGCCGGGCCAGGCCGGGCCCGGTGGTCACCGGGAAGGGGGGGGGGGCCGATTCACTGGTTGACTCAGCGGAGCGGTCGGGCGGGTGGGGGACTCACTTTTATCCGAGCCTGAGGATCATCAAATTTTTGCAGCTGAGCAATCGGATCAAGACCGGCGACTTAGGCACAAGATGACCTCCGAGTCTGGCTAGCGGCGCCGCCCCGGGCGGCGGCGCACGGCCCGGCCCGCGGCCCGCGTTTGCCAACTTGAACGGGCGTTGAACCGATGACCCTCTGCCCGGCCACTGCCGCTTTGTCAACGCGCTATACCGGGCTTACCCGCATCCCCACGCAATCCTTGGATGTTTGTTGCGCCTTGCTGCAATTGCGATTTCCTGCACTGAAACTCACCCACCCCCTCCTGAAAAGGTACCCCTTAGATATCATACAAACATACCGGTACTAGACCCTTTTATTGCGAGTTCCACCCCTGTGGTTGCAGCTCGGTTGCGGCTGGTTGCCGGCACCCGCCCGCATTAATATGCTGTCGTTGCGACGGATAGGTGAGATATGAGATGCCGGCGAAGAAGAAGAAAGAGGAGGAGGAGAAGGACAGAGAGAATGAGCAACAGAAGGAGAGAGAGAGAGAGGGGGGGAGAAAGGGAGGGAGGGAGAGAGAGGGAGGGAGGGAGAGAGAGAGAGAGAGGGAGGGAGGGAGGGAGGGAGGGAGGGAGGGAGGGAGGGAGGGAGAGAGGATGAGAAGGAGAGAGAGAGAGAGAGAGGAGGAGAGGAGGAGGAGAAGTTAGAGAGAGTATGATTTGGAGAGGGAGAGGACGAGAAGAAGAAGGAGGAGAGAGAAGAGAGGAGGAGGAGCAGGAGGAGGAGAAGGAGGAGGAGGAGGAGGAGAGAGAAGAGAAGAGGAGGAGCAGGAGGAGGAGGAGGAGGAGGAGGAGAGAGAGGATGAGAAGAGAAGGGGTAGAAGGAGATCCCTCTTATGGTGCAATATCGATCTCTTACCTTGATGTGAGCAGCTGTGACCACAAGGAATCTCCCGTTCTCCACAATCCAGGGAATCAGATCCCTTACAACCAAAGCATCCTACAACAACATCCTTGTCGAAAAGCGGGGGAAAGTTGCCCTTCTTACATTGAACCGGCCGAAGGCGCTCAATGCTTTGAACAGCGAATTGATGTGATCTTGGTTGTGTTTGGCATGTCTTTGGTCTGACATCTTTTTAGGAATGAACTGCAAGATGCTATGAGCACCTTGGATACCGACTCAGGCGTTGGGGCATTCGTTCTCACAGGTGTTTCTAAACCGTGTGCCACCTTACCAACACAAAGCTTGACAGGGAGCGAGAAAGCATTTGCGGCAGGAGCGGATATCAAAGAGATGTCTTCCAAGACCTTTGTTGGTATTATCCCATGTGACCTTTGAGCTGTCATTCACTCGTCATCGGCAGACACTTACAAGGGGAATTGGCTGTCTAACTGGGGCTCTATCAGCCGACTCAGGAAGCCCATCATTGCTGTGAGAACCGCTTTCCTGCCTCCTCGTCTTGCACTCAGAGTGCACTTAGGCTGTGAACGGCTACGCTCTTGGCGGTGGATGCGAAGTTGCCATGATGTGCGATATCATCTATGCGGGGGACAACGCTCGTTTTGGACAACCAGAAATCACGATAGGGACCATTCCGGGAGGTGAGGAGCAGTGAGGGAACAATTGAGAATGACACCGGGCGCAGGGGGAGGGACACAAAGACTTATTCGTGCGATCGGCAAAGCACGAGCCATGGAGATGATCCTGACAGGAGAGCAGATGACAGCAGAAGAGGCGTTGAGGTCTGGCCTCGTTGCCAAAGTGTTTCCAAAGGAGGAGACGGTTGCCAAGGCGATCGAGACGGCCGAGAAGATTTCTTCCTTCTCACAGAATCACGTCATTATGGCAAAAGAGGTGAACGAATCTCGTGCCGTGTTCACTTCTGAATTCGTTTGCTGCAGGCTGTGAATCAGGCCTACGAGGTCGGACTACAGCAGGGACTGCTCTTCGAGCTCCGATCGTTCTGGACTACTTTTGCCACGGAAGATCAGAAGGAAGGGATGGCTGCATTCATCGAGAAAAGGAAACCAAACTTTCGAGACCAGTAAGAACCCAAGGTCAAGATGGATGGTTTGTTGAAGATCGTAGGTATGGAATACAAGAAATGAGACATTCAAAGCATTATGGTCGTCTCCATTGGTAGGGCGACGAATCTAGTGACCCAAGGACGTTCACGCTTGGCTCTCCTGGTCCCCTCCACTTGTAAGGCTCGTCCTTCAAGCCTTCAACCGGGTTTGCCTCCGGTACTGCGGCACCTTTCCACTTGTAGGGGGAGTCGTCCAATGCGTCAAGAGGACTCTTGTCCGGCTGTACTCCCTTCCAGACGTACTTTGAGGCGTCAAGCGCGTCCAAAGGCGACTCATCCTGCTGATAGCCTCCCCACTGATGTACTGAGTCATCCAGGCTGTTCAGCGGGCTCTTGTCAGGAGCTCCCGGGCCTTTCCACTGGTATGTCGAGCTGTCCAGGTCCTGGAGTGGATAGGTGCCGTCCGGTTGATACGCCTTCCAAACGTAGCGGTCAGAAGCGAGGCTGTCAAGAGGGGACTGGTCAGGCACGTAGGAGTGCCACACGTGTGCCTTGTCACTGAGTGCGGCAAGAACGTTGCTCGGGATCTCTTGCTGCTTCCTCCACTTGAATGGCTCAGAGTTCAGAGCATCCAGAACATTCTCCTGGGTTGCATGTCCCTTGCTCCATTCATGCGCCTCCGAGTTAAGACTTTCCAGTGCGTTCAACTCCGGGGTTTGTTTCCTCCATTTATGCGCATCGCTGGGCAAGCCATACAGCACGTTTCCTTCCAGCTCATACTTGTGCCACTTGTGAGCCTCGTCTGGGAGAGAATCCAAAACGTTAGGTGACAACTTTTGCTTCTGCCATTGGTGTGCCTCGGTGGGCAGGTTTTCCAGCACCTGAAACATGAAGATGATCAGCACATAATGAGAATAAGCATGTGCATTACATTGTGGTACGGCTTCAATTTGTGCCAAACTACAGGCTCAACTTTCAGGAAGTCAAACAAATGATTCGATCCAGGCTGTTCAATGCAGGTCACCAAGAGCAGGCAAGTTATTTCACAGGGAGAGCAGAAAGAAACGAGGAAAGACGATGTGTCACCTTGTACTTGTGCCATAGCACAGGCTCCACTTTCAAATTCTCAAACACTGCCGGGAGAACTTCTTTGTTCTTGTGCCACCTCCAATTTACCGTTGGATACAAGGAATCGATCATCTTCCATTTCGATCAGCCCTCTCACATCCCATCTATAATCGTTACCTTCATGGGAGAAAGCTTCTCCCTCTCGGCAGTGTCATGGTTCACCATTCTCAACTCCTTGTTTTCCCTTTTCAGCTTCGAGATCCTAAGCTTTGCCAACGCGATCTGTCTGTTCAGCTTGGACATCTTGTCATTGGCAGGCTCGCGTTTCTCACGCAGCGTTTGCACTCTTCCACGTTTTGCCTGCGACTCGTCGAACACATTCTCTTCGGTGTCCCCGCACGTTGTCGAACAGTCCTGCGGAACTCTCTTGTTCTTCCACACATGCAGAGGGTTCTAAAGCAGTGTCAGGACAAGTCTGCTGCTGCAATATGCCACACCTCAAGGTCGGCAAAAGGCGACTCGTCCTCTTCGAATTCATGCCATTGATACTCCCCTGCCGCAGGATCGTCCGGGTCGAGCTCCTCCAACTTCTGCTTTCGGACTCCTACGGGCAATCAGAACAGCAGGGCAGCGCACAGAGCGACGGGATACCTGTCGCCTTCTTCACAGCTCGAGGATGGTAGGTAAGCTGGTTCAGGATAGAAGCTTCGCTGTTGCCAAGCACCCAAGGTGTTCCCTCCTCTTTCTGAGCAAGAGACAAAGCGGAAAGGCTTGTTGAGGCATACAGGGAACAGCCCAAGAGCAGGGCGAAGGCAGAAGCGGAGAGGACGAGATAGACACGCCGCATACCCATACACTCCTCAATCCAAGTCCATCCAACAACAGCTGGCAACCTGCAGCAGTGTTAGAAGTCATTCAATCATCAATCCATCGCTCTTTTTCTCTTGTGCCTGATAGATTCTCCTCTTTCCTGTCACGTCTTCTTCATCATCTCCCTCTGATGTCCCCGATCTCTCTGCCCCTGTCTCTATCTCTGTCTCTGTCCCTGTCCCTGTCTCTGTCTCTCTCCTCTATCACATCTTTATCTTCTTTTCCAAGTTCTCCCTTGCGTTCGCCCATCCTTCGCTTTCACCAAGCAATGAAGGGTCAGAGATGTCTTTGCTAGCCTTTCCCATCCCAACCCCCTCATGCTCTCTCTTTTTATAAGTTGTATCTTAGTAAATTACTCCTATCCTTCTACCCCTGACCCATGCCTGGAATGGTATGGTCAGAGGGGGGAGGTGGTCCTCACTCCCTCTATTGTGTTCTATTCATGGCGTACGCTACCGAGTCTTGTCCTCCTTCATGCCCCTGTGCTCGTTTTGTCTCCTTCCCGTCTCCTCTCCTTCCCGTCTCCTCCCCTCCCCTCTCTTCTCCTTCCCCTCTCCTGTCCTCTGCCTCTCCTGTCCTTTCAGTCTGCTCTCTTCCTTGCTGCTCTCCATCTTCTGCTCTTCTCTTCGTTCTTTGCCTCCTCTTTGCTTTGCTCCCTTGTCTCCCCTGTCTGTCTTGTCCTTGTTCTTGTTCTCCCCTGTATTCTCTGTATTTCACCTTGCATGTTTCCCTCCTTCTTTGTTGTTTGTTTGTGCATGATTCGAATTGTTTCACCAATTTTCGTCTCACTCATACTATATTCGATCTTTCCTTCCTCCCATCTTTCTTGTCTCATGCCATCCTCTTACATTCTGCACTCACTATCATGATGGCAAAAGGAGAAGTCATACAAGAAGGGCAAAAGTAGATGAGAAATGAACCATCGAATGCGTTGGAGTGTGACGAAAGTCGGGAGGCAAATTGTGACTATGCCGTTTACGTGATGATTGAGATGCACGGGGGAAGAGGAGGAAGGGGACAAAGAAACTTCTAGTCAGAGAGCACGATGAACTACCTGATTGAGCATGAACAAGCTAACAGCCACTTGGGCAGGACGAGGAGGGTCCGATGTTTGCTATCCTAGTGAACCAGGAGAGTCTGGTCTGGCTCAGAGGAGGGCACGGCTTCGTGTACACGGAGCCGAAGATTGCTGGTGATCCTCTCCATCAGCTTTTTCTCCTCGCTGACCTCCACCAGGGGACTGCTACCTCGCCCAAGACGGGAGTGGGTACGTCCTCTGCCCCATCTCCCGGGCAAGCGTCATGGTCAGTCTTGCTCCCCTCCTTCTCCTCCTCCTCCTCCTCCTCCTCCTCCTCGTCATGGATCTTTTCAAGCTGACGTTCGTTGGCAGACCTTCCATGGCGATCTCAAGGTTTCTGTTTGACCCCTTGAGATCTTCCTCCCCTCTCCTCCCTGGCCGAGGGAACTTGTGTATGATAGCATTCACCCTTGCGCACAGACCTTGCCGCTCTCAGTCTTTTGCTCATGATGTCTCGGCAGTGATATCTGGTGCTCTTGTTGGCTCGATTAAAGGATCTCATTCAAATGTCTCTATAACTATCTTGATGCTCGCTGCGACTACAACCCTCCATTGTTCTCTCCTAGATCCTCTATCGCCATGGTCGCCGCTGACCGCGCAGCCACCGAGGTCCTTCCGCAGCACCTCCCCCATCCTCCTTCCACCTCTTCCTCCCACCTCTTCCTTCCTCACCCTCTGTGCGCCTCCCTTCCTGTCCCCTTGTAACTAGCACGTTCACACAAACCTCGCCCTTGTCCCACCAGATCCCCGATCCTGCTCTTTCTCATCTTCCCGACTTCACTTTCCCGCTCCTTCCCCTTCATCTCCCTCCTCCTCCTCTCTCTCTCTCTCTCCCTCCCTCCCTCCCTCCCTCCCTCCCTCCCTCTCCCTCTTCTTTCCCTCTCCTCCTTTCCTTCGCCATAGCCTTGATCCCCGCATTTTAGACCGCAGCGGACGCATCTCGAGGATAGAAAAAATGAGGTGCCGATGATGGTGCGTGAGAGGGGCGTGAGGCGACGGGGGGAAGAGAAACCAGCCAGGGGCTGCGGGGGTTGAGGGAGGAAGAAACAGGCCATGAGGAGCGCTCTGATGTTGACCATCGCCATGCTGCTTGCTGCAGCAGAGACTGGGAGAGGAGGAGAAGGATGGACCGGAGGGTTGAGAATCCTCCATGGAGAAAATTTGCAAGTGCGAGGTATGGTGCAACATAGGAGGACGGGCCTGTTAAGCTCCTATCCTGCTCTGTGTATCAACAGGAACCTGCTCAGGGGAGGAGGCGAGTCAGAGGGCTCGGGTGAGGAATGGAAGGCAAGGTCGAAGAGGAAGTCCAGGTCAGGGGATACGGAACTTGGGAAGAAGAAGAAGAAGAAGAAGATCGCAAGGGATGAAATCTCGGAGAAGGCGGCAAAGCGAAGAAAGAAGGAGGAGGATGAGGATGAGGAGGAGGAGGAGGAGGAGAATGATGGTGAGAAGGACAAGATGGCGGAGAAGAAAAACAGGAAGAAGGGGAAGAAGGAGGACAAGGTGAGGGTGAAAGGTGCAGGAGAAAAGCTGAGCATCAGGGACGGAACGAGCATGTCCAATACGAGGAGCAAAGGAGGCGATGAGGATGAGAGCATGGCAACGGAAGAGGTCGAGCCTAGCTCCTCCGAGGCATGGCACCCGTCCTCCGAAGTTGTTCCTCTACAGACCAAGGGCGGAGAGCATGGAGGTCGCGCCGACGAGGAGGGAGCAGAGGAGAGCATCGTGAACAGATGGTTTGACTTGTCGAGTCCTCAGCTCATGGAGAAGAAGTTGATGAGAAGGAACGTGGACGCGATCGACAGACGTTTCAAGCATGTGATGGTGGGTAAGGTCGAACAGAGCAGATACCCCGGGCTACAGGTCAAAGTGCCCCTGCAGACGCTCATCAACCGAGCGGATGTCGGGGACCTCAGTGCAATGGCGGCGGCAGGTGGCGCATCAGGTCACCGAGGAGGGAGAAGGCTGATTCCTCTGCTGCAGGAGCTCGCGTGCTGCTTTGTGAGGAGGACGTGGAGAACGTCACGTTCCCAAAGCTGCCTGAAGAAGTCAACGTGACCTTGGAAGACGAATTGGGCGACCTGGGGAAGCTGGCTTACTTCTGGATATGGAAAGGAGAGGAGGGAGGCTGACGCTTGTCTGACTTGCCTCCAGGGAGGCTGCGCACAGGAACGAGAGCACCGCTCAGTACTACCTAGGGATGTTCTTCCTTCAAGGTCTTTGTGACTTGTGCTGGGCGCAAGGCTGAAGGCTCCTCAGGCTATGGTGCGGATGCCAACAACGCGACCGCCGCTGCCTGGCTAGCGCGATCAGCGAAACTTGGGAATCCATGTGGGATCTTTACGATGGGAAGGTGTTGGATGGAGGGGATCGGAGTGCGAAAAAATGAAAGCAAGGCGCTGGAATGCTTCCGACGATCCGCGGACATGGTGCTCTTTGACTGGTCTATGGCTACGAGTTGACTGGATGAATGCAGGGTTGGCTCGATGCGATTGACATATATGCGAAGGCTCTCTACAATGGACTGGGAAGAAACGAGTCGAATCCTAAGGAAGCTGCGAGATATTTCATGACGGCTGCCAAGAATGTGAGTCTTGAATTTCCACCACCACCACCTCCTCCTCCTCCTCCCTTTCCCCTCCTTACCCGCGCCTACTCCATGAGTCTGATGTAACTTTCAGGGAGTGATCGACGCTTGGTTCCACTTGGGGTGCATGTTCTTTGATGGGTTTGGAGTACAGGAAAGTCACTCAACGTCCCTTCGATGCTGGAGGTCAGCTGGACTGTCGCGATTGTCGTGGGCTTTAAGTCATACGTGCCTTGCAGAGAAGCTGCTCGGTTGGGGCATGTTGACTCGAGTGTCAATGTTGGGATCTTTTACCGGGAAGGCTACAAGGTCGTGAGGAGATGTAAGGGCTCAAGGTGATGGTATGTTGGCAGGTGAAGCAGAATGATAAGAAAGCCTTCTCATGGTTCAGAAGAGCAGCTCTCAATGTCTTCTCACTTTCTCTGTGAGCCGTCTCTTGCTGACTGCCTGCAGGGCTCGCCGATGGGTGCCAAGTTGGCTGGCCTCATGTGCCAGGAAGGTAGCGGAGTGTCAAGGGCAAACAAGCACAGAGCAGCCAAGTACTTCGAGATTGCGGCGAAAGGAGGCGATTCAGACTCGCAGTACACCATGGCTGAGTACCTCTGCGAGAATGAGACGGCAAGGGAAGTTCGACGAGATTATATCTTGGACCTCCTCACGGTGACTTTGTATAGTCTCGTCCCCCTCCTCGTAACGCCAACTCCAGGACTCTTCGTCTCAAGGACATCGAGATGCGTTCTTCCGGCTCGCAGAGTGAGACATCCACTCAATGCTGTGCAAGCCATTGATGGGGGCAAACAGAGAACTGAGGAGAGGCGACGCCAACGACTGCAAGAAGGCGAATGACATAATAGTCGAGGCTGCAGATGCGGGCGATGCTGACGCCATGTTCGTCAAGTTCAAATGGTGACTGCAATGACAATCTTGATTCCTGCTTGACAGCTTGCAAGGTTGTTGGAAGAATATCTCGACTCCAACTCCGCAGAGAAGATCCATCTCTACGATTCGTGCGAGTGGCTTCTCCGAGCGAGCCGGCAGAATCACTCGCTCGCACCTCACCTCCTCCTCTTCCTCACGCAAGGGGACGGGGGGCCCAGCTTTCTGTCAGAGGTTGAGCTGGACAACAAGAAGCTCGCGGACGAGCTGAGAGAGTTCACCTCCTCCTTTGCTCGCAAGCAGGCAAAGAGCTCAAGTGCAGGGAACTTCAACTTCTCGCACCTGACCCCCGGCATGTTCATGTCGCTTCCCAACAAGCTGAAGAGGGCAGAAGAGACAGAAGGCAAGAAGTCTCCGATGCTGGCGGAAGACTTGATGAGGAAGGCAACCAAGTACAGGGGCATCGACGCAGGCACTCAGAGTCCTCTCGAGATGTTGATACGAATGAAGAACCTGCACATGTCCTTCAAGGTGAGCAGGCGAGACTGGGAGCCGCAAGTGACTCTTTCCTCCTGTAGACCATCTCCGCCGTTCTTGGTCATAAAGTCCTAACTCAGTCAGAGATCCTGAAGAGAAGCGAACAGCTGCTGCGAGAAGGGAAGCCTCCGCCTACCGTTTGGCTGGGCACCCCGGGTAAAGAAGAAGAGGGTTTGAGCTGTACTTGCTGACGTCTCTTGGCAGTGAAAGTGGGAAACGAGCTCTCAGATTACTTGAGTGAAATCAACGAGGAGGTTCAGAGACGGTACCTCTCGTTCGGACGCCGCTAGAATTTCAATCGCCTCGGGCGAACGTCACGAGGCACAACTTGAGCACAGTGAGGAAACTCAAAGACGGAGTTTGTGACTTTGGGAACAAGAGGAGAACGGATGTATTGAAGGAGAGCAGGCCTGCTACAGGGCTACTTGTACTCGCAGGTGGCTGTAAAATGTGGAGGTTATGTTGCTCCAGTATGAAATGTTAGCAAGGGCCGCCGCAGCCCGTGAGCTTGCTTCTTCTTGCTCGCTGTCCAGCAGACCTGTTAAGGCTTTGATTGCTCCTTGCTCCTTCAACAACCTAGAAACGCGTACGTCATGCAAAGTTGATGAGCAGCGGCAGGAGCGTACGAGTTTGCAAATCTTTCTTCTTTTGCCATGTAGAAAACGAGTGTTGCTATCTTCGATTTCGTTCTGATGCTCAGCATGGACGAACAAAGGATAGCGGCTAATTTCTCAGCCACGCCGTGTGCTTCCAGCTCGTTGCTGGTTGTTCAGTTAGCAGCAGTTGTATCAAGACAACTTTCCTACCACAGGTGGGCCAAAGTCTCCTCGTCCTCCTCGTTTGTAGGGCCAATAAAACAGCACAAGGGTAGCAACCCGTCGATTGCTCCCTCCATGCCTGCACCGTGAAATGAAGTCAGCAGAGGCATGGTCACAAGTCACAGGGAAAGTGAGATCATGTCACGCACTCACACCTTTAGGTTCCATCAGCAGGTTGCTGATGGATTTGATGACATGATTACCCAACAGCTGCTTGAGAGAATCAAATGTTTTCACTCGTCGACCTGCCACGACAAGCTTGTGTGAGGCAGCAAAGTGATGGGAGGGCAAAGGCACATATTCTCCTTGCTGCAGAAGCTCTCTCTGCAATTGATCCTGTAGAGATCGCAAGAACCTGTGCAGTACATAAAAAAAGACATGGGAGTGCATGAAATGAGTCACGTTGTTTTCCAGCAGTTTGGTCCGCATCGAAGCTGGTACGGACGTGCTTGTTCCCTGCTTCTCAAAATTCAGAAGAGAAAGTCACATCCGAATGTCAGCTACATGCTCAGCAGCTGGTTGATCGTCATGGAAAAGCGCTCCTGCACCTACTCCATCGCTCTTGGTATATTCAGAGATCACTTTCACTCTTTGTTTCGGCATTGCAGTAGAAAGCGGATTCGACTGCTTTGACGGCGATGATTTATGCGAACTGAGGCTTAGGTATCAACAGATGGAAAGCCGGCATCTGCATCATACCCTTCGCTATTGCGAGTCTTTGAAGGACTCTTGGGCTTTGACGTTCTGATGGGAGTAGTTTGACTCGAGAGATCCTCACGACTGTCAGCTTTGGTCTCCCCCGGCTCTGCTGGATGGAAGAACTCTTGAAACATGTCATCCAATGTTTGAGCACCGTGGCCGGATGCTAGAAGTAGAGTCAGACCGCTTCGATGCATTCGGCCATGAAACCTGCGCTCCCCTCCTGAACATGGAGAACAGCTGCAGTGTCATCACTTGGATTGACATCGCTTCTGTTTCTTCTTTAGATAACACCACATAGCCATCAGCACCACCTCATCTCCACATGTGTTGACATTTCATGGCTGGATATGCCCCTGTGATGTTGCTCCTCCGGCCACGGCAAGGTGGGTTGATGTGTATCGGGTTTGACCTGCTCGTTTTTGTTCAGCATTGAACCTCCAGCACATTTTTACCTCAAAGTTCTCAAGTCTGGATTCATCAAGTGTTGCTTGTGGAGTCTCTGACGGCTTTGTTTCTACCATTTCAATGGAATTCAGATTCAGCTCATCACAAGGCTTCACTCTTCACCTTCCGCTTGGCTTTCAACAGGATAGATTTCGAAGTCAACGTCCTGTACAGACGAGATCGGACGAGCTTCACCGAGATGAGCACCAGCATCGGTTCTGAAGTCTTGGTGTGCTGTGTGTTGCTTCATCGCGTGACCGTCCATATCGGGGTCGCTTGACTGGGCAGCAGTTGCAGGAGGGAGCTGCTCGGAACTCGCTGCCATCGAGACATGGCGAGCTTCACCCGCAGTGATGTCTGCGATCTCAGTGCTCGAGAGACTCGGAGACTCATTGCTGGACAGGTCGGGAAGCTTTCGCTTTGCATTCGTGGGAGCACGGTCCTCAGCAAACTTCTTATTTTGTGGGGTTGAACAATCTTCCTTGTCCGATGCTGTGGACGATAACGTGAAGTCTTGCTCCTCATTCTTTCTGAATGCAGTAGAAGAACGTTTCGGTTTCTCTTCTGCACTTGTGCTCCTTGGTGCCCATTCCAGCTCTTCCGCTTCCTCCTATTCTCAGGATCAAAACAAAAATCACAACAGCATAAGTCACCTGATGTTTCTTCCTTGACTCCAGCAGCTTTTTGAGCTTCTCGTCCATCACGATCGGTGAAGGAATGGCACAGGTTGATCTCTCACTGAATGCTACAGCAGGCTGATAGGCTGAGCCAGAACCTCTCGATTTCCACTGATTCCTACTTCACAATATCCCCTCCTCGTCACATTGCAAACAAACAATCTCAACGATTCACCTTTTTGTCTTCTAAGTTCTGTCAAGAATCGTGAGATGAATCACATTCGACATGCCGGAACAAGTCGCTGCTACTCTTCACTTTCCCCATCGTCGCATTCCTTCGCCATCTGGATTTTGTTGCTACCGAAGCGTTGAACAGTCATACCCTGGAAGTTCAACAAGCATCAAATCCTGTAAGAATGGTGGGAAAAATCTCTCTAGTATTCATATTTAAACCACAGAATTTCATCAAAAAACCCAAATTCATCGATTAGGACACCCCTACGGGAAAATGTTCAGAGTAGGGCTGAGCTGCCACTACCACATGCTTGGACCCGCCTCAGTATAAAAATTTCAACCTTACAAAAATATGTCCTGGGGCAGGCCTGTTCTGCACCCACAAGGCTATGGCAGTAGTGCGCCCCGTGGTTGTGGACATGAGGCAGGGGGAGAAGGAAGTGCGAGAGACGATGCATGCAGCGCTGAGAGGCTCCCAGCCATCTTCCCCCATAGTTGCTCTCGTGAACTATGGCTTCGAAGATCTCTTTCGCAATGCTGTCTCTGCTGCTCCTCGCCCCGAAGGATCCGGCGAAGCGTGCGTTCCAATCGCCTTGGACTATCTGGAGGAGGATGTACGGCACGAGCTCCAGGACTCCTTGCTCGCGCTTTGTATAAGGATCTGCAACATACTGACTGATCACAAGTTTGACGAAGAGCTCAACACACGAGGCATGACAGTAGAGGGCTCGCTCTCGCTGCGCTTCTACTCCAGTGTAGTAGCAAACCAACTTTTGGAGGGCAGGCAAGACTCTTCGCACGCCTGTCCTCTACTGGGACCTCACGTGGATGGAAATTTTCTGACTTTCCTGTGGTCGGATGGGGTCGGTTTCCAAGTCCCCGGCCCTCATTCTCGCATCAAACCGGAGGATATCGCTGGTATCGGGATCCCCTCCTTGGGAATGGCGCCGTCCACTGAGATGGAAGAAGAGGACTGGGCAGACGTTGTGAGTGTGAGAGACGCTATCCTGATGTCCGTTGGCCAGGGATGGTTTCATTCCTTCCTCCAAGGCCTCTACCCAGGAGTTCCGTGCCCGGTCCTGCATCGGGTGGCAGTGAGGGAGCGAATGGCGAACGATAGGTGTAGCTTCCCCTTCCTCGCTAAGCTTGTGAGTAAAGACAGTCCTTAGCCCAACAGCGTAGAACTTTCCGCTTTCACTTCACATCTATTCACAAGTCTCAAGTTCGATGCACCTCATGCGCTAGTTGAGAAAGTCAAGATAGGGCTGAGCCTTGTCGGTGGTTGACTTGTTGGTTTCTTGTTTCTTCTCTTCCGGGAGTTTCTTGCTGAGGTACTCGTGCAGACGGTCCAGCTGCTCGTCAAGAGAGCCTCTCGACACCTTGAGGAAGAATCCTCTCAGGAACATCTCACGCACTCGCTCGTCTAGCCTCGCAGCGTTAACGTCAGCGTCCATGATCACCGGAACGATGAAGCTCGTCGACTTGAGGGAGAGCGCGAGCCTGAGCTCCGTGGCTGCGCTTGTCCTCCATGCAGCCAGATCACCAACCGCACAGCTGTTGAGGTACCTCTCTGTGAATACGGGAACGAAGAACACGCAGTTCTTGATGCTCTCCGCGACCTGTTCCTGCCACCTCATTCGGTCCATGCCGACCCGCTGCTCCTTGACACTCCACGGCCACAAGCAAGCCATCATTTGGAATGCTTGGTTGCTTGCAGACGAGTGGTTGACTGAGACGGCATGGCTCAACGTTGCCACCAGCTCTTGTGACGAGTATCTGTCGTTGGCCATGTGACTTGGCTTAACCACCACGTCGAGCTCCAGCACTTGATCCTTCAAAACGTGCTGGCTGATGTAAAACCTGGAGGCTGATACGTTCATGTGCGCATAACGCTCCGGAAGAGGCTTCTCTTGCTTCGAGAGGGACTCTTGTCTCTGCAGCAGCACTGAGAAGCAAACCTCGGCAAAGAACTGTGGCATGCCCCTCAACAAGTCCGGGATGCCCCTCAGCAAGTCCCAAGGCTCTTCTCTTGCCAATTTTACTCTTATCCTCGCTCCCACGCTCTGCGGCCAGTCAGCCAGAGGGAGGAGCAGCATCTCAAGACCTTGTGATCCTCTTCTGAGTGCAGCAAGGACCTTGAAAGTCCCATCCCCAACATGTCCTCTTGATTCGTCTGCTGCACATCAGCACAGTAGGCGATGACGTCATCAAAGGCTGTACCGTGTCGAGGCGGTGCTGGTTGCTCGAGTGGACGGTCCATCCTCTGGATCTCAGAGCATCTCTGATCTTGTCGACTATGCCTGCAAGGCTGCGTCAGGGATTCTCACGTGAGGCGAGCACAACCTTGCTGGATTCGGAGCTGTTCCACCTCCCTTCTTGAGGCATAGGAAGGCTCCAGCTTCCTCGAGCGATCTGAAAGATAGCAGCCCTCAGTCTGCAACTCAGCGTTGAAAGTTCAGGTCACCGTAAGGAGTTGGTGACAAGTCGTCTTGATCAACGTTGTTCGCCGCCATGAACGACAAGTAGATTCCTTCCAGGTGTACCCTCGGTCTCCTCCTCTCCTCTGTCATCTCCGTCATGCGCTGCTCGTACCTTGACCGGTGCTTGCTGCTGAGGACTTGGAACTCGACGTCCTCCACAGGGAGACTTCGCTGCTTGAGCCGCAGCTGCTCCATCACCTCCACTGCAGCTTCATCCTCACCCCTTGCAAACAACTCGTCGCAGTGCCGGCACAATCTCTTGATCTCTTCCTTCATGGGGATCATTCTCTCATGCACCAGCTTCTACTCGACACGGGTCATAGCGACCCGATCACGCAAGTTCAAGTTACCTCCACAACTTTGACTCGCACCAGTGCGCTCTTGATCCCGTTCACGACGTCAGCAGCGGCAGGGGAGCGATCGAGTACGGGATGCCAGTAGTACTCGAGGGAGGAAACGAGGAGAGCTGGAGAAGTTGCTTCTGCTCCGATCGTCTTCAGGTCTTGGAAGTTGACTCGGCTCTCTGAACATCGCCTCGCATCTTGCACGAGCTCCCATGCTGCCTTCACGTTGTTCGCCCGCTGCATCTCATCCTCAGCCTGCTCTAGAACCCTCCTCATCCAGCTGAGCACGGCCTGCAGGCTGCGCGTCTCAAGAGCAGGGTACATGTTGTTGAACTTCTCTCGCGCCTTCTGGATGCAAGAGGTCACGTTCCTTCTCAGGTCTTCGTCCCCCTTGCTGATCAAGTTCAGACCGGCGACCGTGTCGTGCAGACCCGGCAAGTCTTGGATGTCTTTCCAGAAGAACTGCTGGGGTAGCAGCTCACTCAACCCTTGAGCGCGGTTCAAGGTCAGAGCAGCTCTCTCCGAGTCGAGGCGGAGCAGGCAGTCAGCGAACGAGCGCATCTCCAGCATGAAGAGCTTCATGAGGGAGGTCACGTGGGACCGCAGAGCCTCTGCCATGGCCGACAAGTCTCTGTCGAGCATGCTCAGCGTCTGCTCCACCCCGTCGTCGAACTCAACTCTGCGAATCTCTCGCACCCGCACTTGACTGCCCTTGAGACTCTGCCCGTCAAGTCGCATCGCACGTGCGACGCTGTCAGAGCCTGCGAAGGTCACGAAGACGAGGAGGTTGACGAGGCCCTGGGTCGCCTGCAGCTGCGGCCTGGAAGAGTATCATCACCCTCCTGCACATGAGGCAACCCAAGAACCACCTGACGTCCGCATGCAGAAAGTCCAAGTCAGTACAGGAGCTGATGTGAAGGATCTCCCCGCAGCCCTTCATGAACGCCAGCAGCTCTCCTTGTGTTGTTTCTCTCGCCAGATTCCACAGCAACACCACGTTCGATCTCCCTGTCAGCATCTTCACCAGCCCCTTGGCTTCCCGCAAGTTTCTGTGCGCCTGCACCAACCCATCTTCCTCCCTCCTCACCGCTGCGTCCTGATCCAGATAGCTCTCGATGCTGCTGAAAAAGGTCGAGAAGCTCCGGAGGCTGACCTTGGAGTCGCTGAGTAGCCGCGACAGGCTGGCAACGGGCGATCGGATCCCAGAAGACAGCAAGGAGGTAGAGGCGAGCGAGGAGGACGCGAGCACACCTGGATGGAGCCCCTCCCTTGCTCGCTGCTCCTCCCCACCAGCTACGTCACTCGGGGGATCCACACATGCTGGCACGGGGTTGAGCTCTACGAGGTCACCTGGCGATCCCAGGCAGACGGCAGGAACAAGCTCGCCGTAGACGTCGGGGATGCGGCCTATGAACACTGTGCTCAAGGAGGTGACGGAAGGCTGCAGGTAGAAGGAGACAGCAGCTGCGTCAGCATCCAACTTCATCGTCACCCGACTGCCCTCCTGCTCCTCTCGTCAGCTCCCACCCTCCGGCTCTCGCGCGTCACCTTGAAGGAGTGCGAGGACGTGGAGGTGATGTGGTTGCCGTTGGCAAGCAAACTGACGCTGGAGGCGCAGGACTGCCAGAACCAGACCTTGTTGTGATGGTAGGAGGAGAACCAGTCGCCCGATGGGCTGCAGTCAGCGCTCACAAGACCCACCGAAAGCTTGTAGTCCATTGAGTGGATGGCAAACGTCCACAGCATGCGCTGCTTGCTAGTCGCCTGAGGGTTCGGGACTATCCGTCGAGTTGTGAGAGCTCTGATAGTGTCGCTCAGCATCGCCTCCTGCAGCTGCTCCCATGCCCCCGCTTGCTTGACGCGCCTCAAGGACGACGAGAGGCTGGAGATCTGCTCCTCCACCTGCTCGATCTTTTCTAGCAGCTCCTGATGCTTGTCGCTGTCGTTGTTGAAGCTCCCGCACCATTCTTGTATCGCGCTGTACATGGCGTTGAGAGACAGTCTGCTCTTCGTCTTGCCTTCTCTTGAGCGTGCTCGCTCCTTTTCTTCCTGCAGCGATCTCAGTGTCTTCCCCAGCTCTTACTTGCAGCGTGAGTTACCGCCATCGCTTCGACTTGCTTGGGCAGTCGCTTGAGAAGCCTCGACATCTGACTTCGATTCAACTCCTTCCAGTCTGGGAACAGCCAAATCTGACGGCACCGTGAGCGATCGACCTGCTCCTTCCTGCTCCCTCACCAGTGACATCGCATCCTCGATCGATCCCGAGGAGTCTGATGTCTCCTCCCCTCGAGCCTGCTGGGCTGCATGCTCGACCAACAGCTGACCGATGCGTCAGGGTCACAGCCAGGAGAGTTGGAGCCTCACCCGCGAGCTGTGACAAGCTTCGCCGGCTACGACGCAGGTCAGAGACGTATGAGCTCTGTCATGCCTCGCGTAATGCCCGCCATGCTCGTGCGTGAAGGCTGAGAGCGACAAGCTCCTGCGAGAACTCTCATCCCTCCTCCCAGTCTCCTTCCTCCTCTGCCTCTTCTCCCTCCCTCCCCTGCCTTCTCCTCCTCCTCTTCCTCCTCCTCTCTCACCTCCAGCGGGAGGACGCCTCCTCGCCCTCCTTCATCGCCTTTTCTTCATCGCCCTCCTTCATCTCCTTTTCTTCATCTCCATTTTCCACATTCGCTGCCCTGGCCCTACCAGCCCGTCAATTGAGGAGACGGAAAGGAGAAGTGGCGGAGAGTCTGAGGGGAGGAGGGCAGGGGCAGCAGGTCAGAGAGAGAGAGAGAAGGAGAGAGAGAGAGACAGAGAGAGAGAGAGAGAGAGAGAGAGAGAGAGAGAGAGAGAGAGAGAGAGAGAGAGAGAGAGAGAGAGAGAGAGAGAGAGAGAGAGAGGGAGAGAGGGAGAGAGAGAGACAGAGAGAGAGACAGAGAGAGAGAGACAGAGAGGAGAGAGAGTCAAGTAAGGAAGAGAGTATCAAGCTAGACCGACAGGTAGAGTTCGGCATCTGAGCATCAGGACCCTAGCATGGAATCTGGCGGCTTCAAGACTCCAAACTCAACGGGATGGAAGGTTGTGGATCCTCCAGGGCTCGACATGTTCGCAAGAGAAGCGAGCAACCATGAACATCTCCTTCCTCCCCGCAGCAGCACGGACCTCTCCACTCGCGCTCTCTCCGAGGCCCTGGCGAGGAGCATCGCCACCATAACGCGCGAGGCTTCTAAGGAAGGTTCCATGAGCAGGATAAAGTCATCGCAGAACTCGCTCGAAGCCTCTCCGGCAGAGCACCTGAGGAGCGCCGAGGAGCTCCCCGGGGCCTCCGAGGCTCAGAGGATCTCCCAACTCCGAGCGCAAGCAAGAGAGTTGATGCAGGGGCTGAGGGAGAGGAAGGAGGAGCCGAGCGGTCCGTTCCTCTACCATGAGGCCGAGCACGACATCCACAAGGCCTTCTCGAGGCACAGCGTCATCAGCAAGAAGCCGCCGGTCAGATCGCCAGCTCCCGCCCACCTTCCCGCCGACTCCAAGTCAAAGAAGACGAAGAAGAGCGGAGGGCGAGCAAGCACAAGGGAGGAGCGAACAAGAAGAAGCAGGAGGCAGTCGAGGGGAGGTTGAGCGAGGTCTACCAAGAGATGGAAGGTTACTTCGAGAAGATGACTTGCCAGCTGCATGCGTGGGAGGCTGGGCTGCAGGAGCGAGAGAAGGCAATACAGGTCGACGCTCGTTGCTCCTCCTCGATCTTCACTCACGGACCCTCCGCAGGCCTTCCAGACCTCCGAGTTCCTTGAATTTGCCTTGAACGCGTCCAAGATGGCTGAGAGAATCTCCATGAAAGAAGACGAGCTGAAGTACATCGTCTCTCCTCTCCTCTCCTCTCCACCTGCTCTCCTCCTCTCTCCTCCTCCTCTCCTCTCATCTTCTCCTCCTCTTCTCCTCTCATCTTCTTCTCCTCTTATCTGCATCCTTCTTCTTCACTCCTCTCCCCAGCTTTCGTCCTATCTTCTTCTTCACTCTTTCCTCTTCCCTTTGCCGTCGCCTCCATCATGTCACGAAGTTGCAGGCTGGAGGAAGAGACTCTGAACAAGGAGAAAGACGCTCTGCTGGAACACGTCCAAGACCTTCAGAAGATCCACAAGAGGCTCGACCAGGTAGCGGCTTCCTCCTTTCCTCCTCCTCCGATCTTCTCCCTCCTTTCCTCTCCTTGTCTCCTCTTCTCCGCCTCCTTCGCTTGTTGTCTCGCTACTACCTCTCTTTCCTCTCCTCCTCTCCTCCTCTCGTCGGCGTCTTGTATGACTGGAACTTGTCAGGTTGAGGAGCTGCACAGCTGGGAAAGGTCGTTGAGTGACAGAGCAGCAGCGCTGCATGCCCGAGAGAACGAGATCGAGACGAGGGAGCTGGACCTTGCGAGACAGCAGGTGAGGGTCTTGTGATGTGCCGACGGTGACGGGGGGCAGATGTACGTCGAGCAGAGGGAGAGGGAGGTGCAGATGAAGATGATATCGACTAAGGAGATCAGGAACGAGATCAACAACGAGCTGCTGCAGTGGGAGGCAGGTCGGCTCTAACGTTGTTGGTTGACCCCTGTGACCATCGGCGACCAGACCTGAAACAGCGAGAAATGGACTTGGATACAAGAATGCGGCACATGGCGAGTCAGAGCAAGAAGCAGGTGTGTTGTATTTGATTGTATGTTTTGTTCCCCTCCTCTCGTCCCTGACTCGTCCAAGGAGATCAACGGACAAGAGAACAGGCTGAGACAGGCGTGGAGCGAGCTGGACAGAGAGAGAAACTAAAGTGATTTAATTGAATGGTATAAGCTAAGGCGCGAGGATCGAGGGAGCTTTCCTCCCCCACTCTCGCATCCTCGACCTCCCCAATCCCACAAGGTTGTGGAAGAAACAAGGCGAACGGCAGAGAGCCGCGATGAAGTCCGTCACTTTAAGCTTGAGCAGCAACTTCCAACAAGTCAGTTCACATCCCCGCACTTTCCTCTCCTCCCTCCTCCTGCTCCTCCACCAACGCCACCTCCTCCTCTCCTTACCACGTCTGTTCCCGCAACCACTTCAACCAGCGTCTTCCCGCTCAGCAGAAGCTCTACCTCACCGAAGATTTGCGCCTCATTCACGAGCCCCACCTGCCGCTTGTCTCACTCTCTTGTCCTTCAGCGTGCTGAGACTCACCTGAATGCCGTCGACGGAGAGAGAAAGTTTTCCTTTCTCCACCACGTAGATGCAGTCGATTGTTGCCCCGCAGGGATACAACGTCTCCCCTGATACATCGACTTAGATCTCTTCTTCCTCCTCCACGGCCACTTCCTCCACCTGCCCTCCTCCCCTGCCATTCTCACCTCTTTTCAGCTCCATCCTCTCGAGCTTGCTCTTCATCTCCTCCCACGCATCCTGGGCCAGTTTCTCCTCATTCACACCCTCCCCTTCCAACGGAAACTTTCTTCGTCTGCACGCCACGTCAGCTCCCCGCCCACTCCACGTCACTGACGCACATGCTGTCGGGGCTGGGGAACGACCAGGAGAAGCTGTTGGCGAAGGAAGTCTTGGAGAAGATTCGAGAGAAGGAGGAGACCGGGGCCACCGGTCGAGCATCGAGCATGTCCTTGGAGAAGAGCATCTGGAGAGGAGCAAGGACGTTCTTGCTCACTTCGATTCCCCTGCTCCTGACCTGCGGCTCGCCCTCTCCCCCACATCCAACATTCACATCTACACTAGCAATTCCTGACGACATCTCGGCATCATATTTCGCTCTAAGCTCTGGAAGGAAAGCGCTGTCGCGAGACAGGCAGGCCTTCCCAGCTTCGATGAGCATGCTCAGGAGCCGAGGGCACCACGTCATGATCTCCGCGAGCTCCTGCCTCGAGATAACCCACGCCTGGCATGCGACTGAGTTCACTCAGGCCGCAGCTCCACCTCCTCACCTCAAAGAATCCGTCGGCGATCACATCGGCCGTCCGCAACGAGCTCAAGACCAACGCGCACTCGCCAAACATGCAGCCGTTGCCGAGGGTTCCAACTTCTCTCCCATCCACAACCTGCCAGCAAGTCTCAGTGGCCCTGCGAGGAGTTGAGATCAACTCACGATCTTGCAGGACCCCGACTGCCCGAAGTAGAGAGCCATCCCCACGGTCCCTTGCTTGATTACAAACTACAAGGCAGGTTATGAACCCCTCTGACCCTCCAGCTCGCCATCACTTGTCCATCCGAGAACGCCACGAGACGCGCCTTTTTCTTCATGACGCACTTCAAGATGTCTGCAGCAGCTCGTCATGCGCGACTGGACAGCTGTAACAGCGACAAGTGAACCTGCATCCCCTGCTACGGCAGAGAGAACCTCACACTTCTCTAGACCTGGCCCATACCAAACATCAGGATCGACGGCTTCACGCCATTGACAGTAACGACCGTCAACTTGTGGAGCATGCAAGGCCTCCATGAGCTTGCGACACCGAGTCTTCGTACTGTGGGCAAGGAGGAAGGTCAATCCACACATGCAAACAGCAATAGTGAAGACATGTACACTAGAATGACGACTGAAGACCAGAGAAAGATGAGTGATGGGTGGATGGGTGGATGGATAATGGATGGATGGAGGGAGGGAGGGAGGGAGGGAGGGAGGATGAGGATCAAACAAGAAAATCACCCTTCCTGGCTCACCTCGAATCAATCAACAGCGTTGTGCTCTCAGCATTCCAAATGGCAGATTTTGGTTGCAATGGTGTCAAGGTATTGTTCCCCAGCACTTCCAGCGCCCCAATCAAGCTATGCAGAAGTTCTCTAGCAGCCTTGCAGTCCGACTCTCTCACATACACTGAGGGAACCACATCAGCACCTGTCACTTCCACAAAAGCGAACTCACCTGTTTCCTTTCGGAGCACCTCAGTGTCAGGAAGGAAAGGCAATCTCTCCCGAAGCTCAAGCCACGCTTCCTTGCCCCTGCCATAACAAGCTCACAACGTCATCACAAACGCGAGAGCATTTACCTATCACGTTGTCTGCAACCCACACTTGGGACTCCTTCCTCGGTTTGTCGGATAACCTTGACGATCATGTCAGTCTGGCTGTATGAGGGCTAAGCTCCTCCCAACCTTAGTCAGAATGTCCTTCTGTTCCCTGAGGCAGCGCAAGACTTGCTGCTGGTCCATCAGCCCATACAATCCGGATTTTGACCTTCACCTGCAGTCGGTTGATGGCGCGCGAAGTCCATTGCTGCCAGGAGAACAATCAGACCTCGACAAGCCATGAGTCACTTGCAGACCTCGAGAGACATGCTGTGATGCGTTGGTGTCCCGATCTGTAGAAAGAAGAACCAACATGAGTCATCGGATATTTCCTCAACGCTTTCAATCGGATCTCACTTCACTCTTGCTTCGACGTATGCTTACAGCAGGACTTTTCCTAAATGGCAGAAAGGATTTGTAAATCATTGGTTCGCCTTTAATCGATACAAGAGTACCAATCAAACATGAGGTTTGGACTGAGGCTGGACGGCCGAGCTATTTCATGCTCTGCAACAAACATCAGCCCAGACCTGGCACTTAACTCTCCTTGCCTTCCATGTCCGGGGGGTTTCCACAGATTTCACCATTTTCCGCCAGAGGCCTGTCAGCACGAGGATTGATCAGTAAGATGTCGACACGGGAGGGAGGGGGGGGGGGACTTACCATAGCGCCCTGAGGTTGGGGTTGCCGGAGAGAGCATGGGTGATCTGCAGGTTGTGGGTGGTGAGACAGCTCCCGAGTGTTGCGATGGTGTTTCCTACCTGCCCTGCTCGGAAGAAAATTTCCTCGACGTGAGAGCAGAGGTTTGCAAGCTTGACCGGATCCTGCTCCATCCCATGAGGCTGACACAAAAAAAAACCAAGCATGTGTTCGTCACCATCAGAAACAGGCTTTCATTCTTCTTGCCATAGTACTGCAGAACACTGTCCAGCAACTGCAAGAATGTTAAAAGCTTCTAAAAGCGCTATATCGCTATCACCTTTAAGACATCCAGGTGCAAATTTCTCAGGGCTGTTTCTTTGACAGCAAGATATGACATCCAGACCCGCATCCATTCGCTGGAACCCACTGTTTCTCGATCAACAAAGGACCGCGTCATCGACGACCCCGCTGTTACAAGCTCCGCGTTGCATTCACGGAGAAAGGACCATGGCTTCACTTCCCACCCTCCAAACCCCATGTGTGTTGCTTCATGCTTTTCGCCCTACAAACCCCTTCACCAATATTACCCCCCCCAAAATGCAGGGAGTACCGTCGCTGCCGACCCCGTGGAAGCTCTCGCGCCATATCTGCCTTTTGATATCTGCAGCAAGACCGTCACATCAACACGAGGAATGTCTGATGTCAAACCTCTGAGCTGACATCGTCCTGATGGAAGCTCGTCTCGGATTCGTCATCAGGTGATCGATTGAGCGTGTCAGCGTCCACGGCAGTCGTCAAGACGTCATCCAACAGGTGCATCTCGACTCCGAAATCATTCTCTTCCCCTATGCTTCTCAGCCGACAGAGCGCTTGCTCGTTCCTGAAGCTCATTGTTCCTCAACAGGAAAAACTAGTTGTCGCCTTCACGAAAAATTCATTGAGCAACAAAGATTCCCGATAAGCTGCTGCATCGACAAGGGCACCTGGTAGGAAGGAATCATCAGATCTACTCTTGCCAGAACAGAGAAGGTCGACTTTCACTGCCATGCCTTTTGGTCAGCTGACTAAGCAGATATAACAGGCGCATCGGACAGCAACAACACAAGCCGAGGTGTTCTTACTTATGGGACTTGAGTAAATATGGGAGGTAAGTGAATCGGTGCATGCCATGAGAGAGTGGCCCATGTCCTCCTCCTCCTCCTCCTCCTCCTCCTCCTCCTCCTCTCCTCTTCCTCTAACAGCGCTGCCCCTCTTCGCATCTCGCAGAAAGGTAAAAGTGTGTTATATAATGCTCTTGTGGGTACAATAATTTGCAGGTTCTTCTACAGTTCAACCAGTACTTTTTGATAATTCATGTACAATATTTTGGTACTTGCTTATCGCACAAGGTAGTTTCTAAAATATTCATATCTTTTTAATCTAGTACAAAACTGTATCTATCTAACCAACTAAAATTGTTCAAAAGGATTTAAAACTCTTTCAAGTTAAGTAAAAACTTCTTGCACACCTCGATTCCCGGGCTCCGGGCCGGGAGAGTCTCAGTGAAAGGCCCCGGCCCGGTGGGAAGTGTCGGTTCCTTCTACCTTTAAAAACGGTTCCTTCTATTGCCATTTCCTATCTCGGTTCCTTTTCGTACATTTTTCATTGTCGGTTCCTTAGCCACCCTTATGTGTCGGAGAGAAGCTGTAAAGACACTGCAATGGCAGTTCGACGGGCCTCATGTGGTAAGAGCGTCAGCACTGTGTAGAGGAACCCTCGTTGCCTTTGATCTCCTTGCATGTTGAAGCACAGTTATGCTTTCTCACCCTTTATCCCTGTTTGATTGTCCTCCTGCTGGTCGATATCTGTGTTTTGCCTTGATCCTGTCCTCCTCGTGCGATCCGCAAGCCTCATTCCCATTCTTCATGGCTTGTGCTCTTTTTGTTCAGCATCTCTCCTCTCCTGCATGTATCTTCCCAAAAGTACGCGTCTAACACAGTGAAAACACCATTTCTTGCATGTTATGTGATTGCAAATAACACTTTGGAGCTCTTACGGGTCATCGGTTGTAACCTCTTCGATGTAAGCAGGCCTCTTGCTTGTTTTCTTCGTCGAGGTGGTTCTCTCCCATGACAAGTCTGTCTTTGGAGTGAGTTTGCAAAGTTTATCTCTCGCAGAGATTTGTCTGACGATTGCCAACTCTCACCAGAAGGCCAACAAGTTTCGTTTTGGCCTTCCTAAATTTGGTAGACGAGTTCTGAAAGAACAGAAGGACATTCCAGGTTGCCCAGCCTGTTTAGCTTGCTGAGCTCAACATTGTACATGTGCAGATCACCTTGTCACAAAGGATCTCGCTCTGAAGTCCGGGCTCTTGCGGCAATGCGAGAAGGAGCTGGAGCAGAAGGGGAAGACGCTGACGGTGATGTGCGTGGGGGAGAGCGGCGTGGGCAAGACCTCCTTGATATCAAACATCTTGACGGTCCCAATCTCAAAAGCCCCACCTCCTCCAACAAAACACATCACCGACAACGAGATCCGAATCAAGTGCGATGGGATCCCTTTGACCGCCACATTCATTGACACCCCTGGGTACGGCGACATCATGCAGCTCGAGAAGAGTTTCTACTGCATCGGTACATCGCACATGTGTCTTTCGTTTTTTCTGATGTACTCTTCAGCGGCAGACATTGACCGTCGTCTCGAGAAGGCGTTCCGCAAGGAGAACCGTAGGGTCAGACCTGACAAGTTGGATCGCTCGTCTGGGGTCGGAGTTGATGCAGTTCTCTACTTCATTGCCCCCCACCGTTTGAAGAAAATCGACCTCAACTTCCTCAAGGTATTTATTGCAGCACATGAAAGTGAGAAGCATGGCTGACTTGAGCTGCAAGATCATCCAAGGGAGAGCAAGCATCATTCCTATTCTCGCCAAGGCAGACACGATGACTGAGGCTGAGCTCAAAACCTTCAGGGCACTCGTCGTCAAGCAACTTGCTGACGTTGGTTTTACTTCATCATGATATGGTTCTTACAGCTTTCTGGCAGGCCAAGATTCAGTTTTACAAGGGACCATTCGCAATCATTTCATCTCCTCTTGCGCATGTTGCCAACAACGGAAACAGGCAGAGTGTCTGTTGCATTGGAGCATACCTAACGATATGTCCTCCAGAAGTCTCAGCCAGAATGGTCGCGAATATCCGTGGGGAATAGCTGAGAGTGAGAACGAGAAGCATTCCGACCTCCGCGCGTTGAGGCGGTACAATTGAGCGACTGTGGTCTCTAGCCCTGAGTGAACTTGCAGATGTCTCGTGACTGAAGGATTGTCTGAACTTCATGCAGCCACTGACAAGGTGCTGAATGAGTGTTCGTCGCCTTCAATCCTTATTGGATTTTCTCAACGACGAACGATGTGGGACTGAAACCCTTGCTTTTCCTAGTTCTACGAGGAGTATAGAGCCAAGAAGCTTCGATACAAGAGAGGATTCTTGGGATTTATTAGGAAAGTGACAATCACCGCAATCCAGGTACGACTCAAATTGATTTTTCTTGCTGGCATTCACGGCAGTGCAGTTGGCCTTGTTGAACGTCCTCAAGAAGGTGAGTGAACTTCGCCCATGAGCAATGTTGTGCGACCCGTCACACCATCGCGTTTGCAGCCTGCCATGGACTTGTGGGCGGAAGCATATGTAACTCATTGCTTCTGGTTCCTTACAGTGTGCCCTGACCCCACTATGTAGGAGATCATTGAGAAACGAAAGGCCTTCGGCCCTGAACTGCCCAATGAAGTCCCCGCGCAGGAGAAGCCCAAACCGTCAAAACCTTTCTGGGCAAAGTGAATTTATTTTTTGATGCAACCAGGTGCTAAGTGAGAAATCAATCGCTCCAATTAATAATCGATTATGTGTTCCCTGTCGAACGTTCAAATTGCAATTTCTGAATGTAAACTAGACAAAAAAACAAACTCCTCGCCCTTCAGAGCCAACCATTCACTATGCTCTTCATCGTCTGATCTTCTTCCTGGGCTAGATCAGTCATGCGTCAGCCAATCCCCTTGACTCCTGTGCCCGGCCATCCCGATCCCAACATCCATCTTCGCTTTTATGCGCCATTGCCAAAGTATTCGTACCAGAATTATCACTCAATTTCCGAAGCATCTTGAGTTCCGTCCGTCACTTTAAAAAATCTGGGCTAGGAAATGCACACCGCGGCAGGCTGCGGGACAGAGTGACGGGGGACGGGAACGGAGGAGAGAAGTTCCATCAACAGAGCAGGAGTTCCATGCAGAGTGGTCACAGATTACATGACAGATTGCATGAGGATACGCGGAAGAACAATCGGGTAAGGGTGCTGCGAGGCTGGGAATCAGTCAGGACGAGAAGCTGCGGGGGCGGTAGTAGTTCACATTGGAATGAAGGCTGACAATCACGGAAATGACGTCCATGAGGTAACATGGATGTTCATAGTGAGTAGTATGATTCCAGTCCTGTAGTTCGACGTATATGAGTACACAGTGTGTTCCTGATCAACATTGCCTCCAAAGTTACAGTTTAAAAATGCAAAAAATCACAGGACAGACGCTTCACGGAAAGATTATCTAGAGCAGTTCAATCTCGAAATGCTCTTAGACGATAGCATGTCGAACACCTAGAAATAAAAAATTGTCAGATGTTGATTAGGCCTGAAGAGGTGAAGCATCTTACTCTAAAGTTTTGACATGTCTTGCTGTTCCAGTGATTGACCAATGTCTTTCGCTGAATTCTAGATGATTTGATAGCACACATACTTTGTCGTTCCTGATCTATGACATATATCAGATCCAAGACAAAGTGCAAAATCGCAAACCTCTGCTGTCTTCAACTCCACAAGTTGCAATGCATTGTTACCATCTCCCTCCCAGTCTGCTTGTAAGTGAAATAATGATTCATATCCCTTTGTCCGCACAGGTTTCCCGTCTACAACGATCTTCGTCTCTTGAAGCCATTGTGTCTCAAAAATGCCATAGAGTGATGGAACTTTGAATCTGAACAATACAGTACAACATGGCAGTTCACCCTCCCAGCTCACTTTCACAGCAGTTTGCAAACTCAACGCCTTGAGAAGGTCCAGACTGATCTGGTGTAGCCTTGCAATGTTGCTCAGCTCTGCATTGAAAGATGTTTCCTCCCAGATATTACACATCTGTGCGAGCATGAACGATCCTTCCACATATCCCGGGTCAGATTTTCGAAGGATCCGTTCCACGTCGCACGGGAAGCAAGTTGAAGAAATTGAGTCAAAAGAGAATACTGTCCAATCAAATTTGACCGCTGAGGGAATCAGAGAGTCAAAGATGTCGCCAATGGGCCTGGGATCTATCTTATTGAAGAACAAAAGCATGAACCTGCCGTCCGACACAAGGATTTTGCTTTCCAAAACGCATGGGTAGAAAGTAGCCGAGTGATCACGGATTGCAAGAAAGTTTACGACATCTCTAAAGCATCCTTCGGCTCTCGATTGCTCCTCTGATTTACAGGCATCCCAGGTCAAACATTTGGGATGCACAAGAAATCTGATATGTTGCCCCAGATGGAATCCTTTCAATGCTCGCGAATGTTCTGAGAGCTTCTGGAAGCCCTTGCTCATTGAGACAACCTTTCGACTGCCAACATCTACCAAGAGCATGAGTTCCAATGCTCGTGTGAATATTTCCCTGTACATACGATCATAGTCGTGGGAGTTCTGCGGTTCTGTCTGATTCGTCGGTCCAGTCGGAGAGTTCAGACACGTTATCTTCTGCAAAACATCGCTAAGCAATTGTGTGATACTTCTTCCTGACTTCAACAAAGAGCGGTGTCTCCTTATTGTCCTCTTGGCCGGAACTAATTTATCAAGCTTGTCGATCAACTCTTTTGTTTCATCGCGAAGGGCAGATTTTTGGAGCCTTTTGACCATCAGCATATCTTGACGAGATACGTTTGAAGAAGATGAATTCATATTGACGTCAGTTACAAAGGGACACTGAAGCAATTCTAAGATTAGCAGAATCGATTGAAAATGATATCGAAAAAGATCAGAGCTTATCTCTTTGCAGTCTGACAATCAGTATCAACATGGTTGCCCAGAGCAGACGACATAGCTATAGAAGAGCCAGAGCCAGACGAGGCTACGATATCCCTACGTCTGGTATTACGCGCAGCCCCTTCCACCTACACCATCCCAGGTGTCGCTCGCTCGCTTCCAGAGTTGCGAGGAATACACGTTCAAAACCGTTACGGAACGTTATTCCAACAACCCACCCTACAAATACCCCCCAAAAACTTCTAAGAAGGACCCCACCCACTTCCACCTAACGATCTGAAGATCAAATTAAAATATTTTAACCTCCATTATAACATTTTATGAGGTAAGGTCAAAACGGGTTACCGCAGCCCTGCCCGAAGTCAGAAAATAGGTACTTATGAGGGGTCCTTTGACCGGTGTTTTAACCCCTACCCTCCGTGTCATGTTCAAACTTACCCCTACCTTTTACACGCAAACGAATCAATAATTGATATAAGTCACCCCACCCTTATTTTGTAAGAGCGAGCAGGGGTACTGATCCCTGAAAGCTTCTCATCCTCTCGTGATTATAAAAACCCCTTCCTGCGCATGTCGCACACCCACCCCTACAAACGATTCTCAATGAACCCGTGGGGGTGGATAGGTCGTACGGATCTGAGCTCGAAACTAGACGATTTCAGTGGCTCATGTGAAGGAGTCAGAGGATGACACCGTTTTAAATAACTAAAACTTAAGACGGGATTCAAACAGCCCGCCTCACAACACAACTCTGGCAGGCGGCCGCCGGCCGCCGGGCGGCCAGTCCAGGCGGCTCACTCGAGTCAGTGGGGGGGGCCCGGCCCGGGCGATCGGACCACTGCCAGGCCGCCTGTGAAACCCTGGCAGGAAACGCGGCAGCGCTGCCAGATGGTCTCAGTCTCAGGCTCGGCCTCGTCCGGGCCTTGGCTTGAACTCGCCGGATCGCTGCTTGCGGCGGCATGCTGCGGGCCGCCGTGAATCCGAGGCTGACATGTCTCAGAGTTCGCCTCAGTGACTGCAATAACTCTTTTACTCAAAGTTAAGTTACTGCAATGTGACTTTGCCACCGGACAGTGAATTGAAAAGAATTACAATTGACTCACTGGTGAACTGACTCTAGTGAGCGGCGCCTTGGCCCGAAAGGCATGCGGGCCCCGGCGGCTCGCCCACCGCGCCGGGCCGCGGGCCCGGCCGGGCGCGGCGCGCGGTTCAAGTTCTAGGACCTTTATTTGTATGCGTGTTCTACCATCCTATTCCAGTCCTATCAAGGCTCTACATACCCGAAATAGTACCATGGCTAGGGGCGAGAAAGGTGTAGATGCCGCGCATGTTCAGTCACGGCACGAGATGACTGGGAATGAGGGAGACAGAGAGGAAGAGGACCAGGATAGAAAGACCTTGTAACAGTGAAGATACGAGAGCTAGATCGAACTTTTGGATTAGAAACGCCTCTTGAATTCGAGAGTAGTCAACTTGGATGGTGGATCGGACTGATCATATGTTCTGTCAGGGCAGTTCGGGCATCAAGCTGCGCTGCCTTGCTCACACAGCCTAAGTCATCTTGGAGCTAGGTGGCTGAGTTGCCGGGTCAGAGCCAGTTGCAAGGCAAGAGCATATCATGCAAGGAAACGATTCAATCCCCTCGGATGGTGATGATCACAGTAAGCATTGATGAACTGTTATTTGTCAAAATCGCAGACTCATTCGGCATGCAGGAACCGCTCGGAGTTGTAGTGGTCCAGCAAAGTTCGTCAGCATCATCCTCATCTCTTTCGTAGTGTTCTCGGCACTGGATAGCATCATTCATGGCTCGGTCAACGCTTCCTTCGGGCTAGACATGTTGGCCAAGTTCTTTGTTGCCATTCTACCTCTTATGTTGGTCATAATTGTCTGCGCGTTGATTTGGTTCGCAATCCGCTTGCTCATGGCCAAGTACAGCGCCAATCAAGTCACATTAGGGCCAAGTTATGCCGCGCTGTCAGCGATGGAGGCACCGGAGCCGTATGCGCGGATGGACGAAGAGAAGAAGGCCCTCCAAGGGATGAACCAGCATCCTATCAACTCAGCCCGCAGCAACAACTCAGAGCAGCTCTCCGACGTTGAAGCTAGAGCAAAGGCCAAAGCTGAAGAGGAGAAAAGGAAAGCAGATGAGCTCCGATTGTTGAACCTGGTAATCCATGCTGACGTGCCGTTCCCTTGCTTTTCGATAATGTTTGCTCTAGGAGGCGGCAGCCCGGAAGAAGGCCGAGGAGGAGGCAGCGGCTGCAGCGGCGGCGGCGGCGAAGGCGAAGGCCGAGGAGGAGGCGGCGGCGGCGGCGGCGGCGAAGAAGAAGGCCGAGGAGGAGGCAGCGGCGGCAGCGGCGGCGAAGAAGGCCGAGGAGGAGGCAGCGGCTGCAGCGGCGGCGAAGAAGAAGGCTGAGGAGGAGGCGGCGGCGGCGGCGGCGGCGAAGGCGAAGGCGAAGCCCGAGGAGGAGGCAGCGGCTGCAGCGGCGGCGAAGAAGGCCGAGGAGGAGGCAGCGGCGGCGGCGAAGAAGAAGGCCGAGGAGGAGGCAGCGGCTGCAGCGGCGGCGGCGGCGAAGAAGGCCGAGGAGGAGGCAGCGGCGGCAGCGGCGGCGAAGAAGAAGGCCGAGGAGGAGGCAGCGGCTGCAGCGGCGGCGAAGAAGGCCGAGGAGGAGGCAGCAGCGGCGGCGAAGAAGAAGGCCGAGGAGGAGGCAGCGGCGGCGGCGGCGGCGAAGAAGGCCGAGGAGGAGGCAGCGGCGGCGGCGGCGGCGGCGGCGGCGGCGAAGAAGGCCGAGGAGGAGGCGGCGGCGGCGGCGAAGAAGAAGGCCGAGGAGGAGGCGGCGGCGGCGGCGGCGAAGAAGAAGGCCGAGGAGGAGGCAGCGGCGGTGGCGGCGAAGAAGGCCGAGGAGGAGGCAGCGGCGGCGGCGGCGGCGAAGAAGGCTGAGGAGGAGGCAGCAGCTGCAGCGGCAGCGAAGAAGAAGGCCGAGGAGGAGGCAGCGGCGGCAGCGGCGAAGAAGAAGGCCGAGGAGGAGGCAGCGGCGGCGGCGAAGAAGAAGGCCGAGGAGGAGGTATAGCTTGTTGCTCCATCAGGGCAGTTTTTTGATTTCGTCCAGGAGCAAGGAGCGGCATGGAAGGCAACTCCCCTTGATTCTCGTCGTTACCTTCCTCCTGACTATCCGCACAGGTGGGTAGCCGAGTATCAGCCCTGTGGAAGGAGGAGAACGAGTACTTCCTCGGACTAGTGTCCGCTGACAACGGCGACGGGACATACTCGAGTGATGCGCAGCTTCTGGTTGGCGAACGCGGCTGACCGTTGATTGTTTCCAGTCAACTTCGATGATGGCGATGTCGACGAGCGACTGGAGGCCGAGCACATTCGTGCGCCGACACAGGGAGAGTTGAGCAGCAGCAACAACTGAGTCTTCATGCACATCATTCATTGAGTTTCAACAACTTTTTCACGCTACTCCGGTCATCTCGTGGTCAAACAACTCTCGGGAGAACGGGTCAGAGCTAGTGAAGTCAAACTGCGGGCCTTGCGCATGAGCACGTACGACACATGCTGTACTCATGCCGGGCTTGCGGAGGGCCGAGAGCGGGTCTGCGACTTGCCTGGCAAGGGATCGCAGCAGCATCTCGCCCTCCCCCTTCCTCAGGGGTCCTGACAGCTCCAGCTCGACCTCAACACACCCGTCCACTTCCACGATGTCTTGCAGTGTCAGCGCCTGCTCAGGCAGCGCCGCTGCTGTCGCCACGTCCTGCTTGACCCTCGTCGCATACCTCGAGAACGCCAGCATGTCGACGGCTCCGTCCCTGCCCACCCACGTAGAATCCTGCGCGAATGTGAATCGGATGATGTAGGGCCCCAGCTCAGCTGGGGGGGAAGGAGGAGTCGGATGGAAGTCAGCATTCATAGCCTCGCTCGATATTCGAGCCTGCTCCTCCACAAGCTCCCCGATGTCTCGCACCTCCTCCTGCCCCTCCTCCCTCATGCTCGCATTGCCCATGGCCTGCTGGTTCACTCGGGCTGCGGCTCCAAGTTTCTTCCGGGGCATGAAGGAGTCTATGGAGATCTCCTGCAGAGGAGGGGAAAGTTCGTAGATCGCAGCGCCAGCCTCCTGCGTGTGCTGCTGCTCCGAGCTGGCAGACAAGTTCATTCCCTCCAAGATGTCGCTGGGAGAGATCTTCTCCTCGGGCTTCAGCGAGGGTTCGTGCGACTCTCTAGGAGCTGGTCGCTCTGAGGTCCGAGAGCTGTCGAGGAAGGAGAGCATGCGAGGGGATGATAGCTCACTCTGAACCTCTTGTCGGATCATCTCCCTCAGGTTGAGCATGTTCACGTTGGGCCGGGCGGATGCTGCGACTGGCGCTCGCTCCTCCAGCTTTCGTTGCTCGAGTTTTCTTATGGCCCGGCGAGAGCAGAAGTACCAGAACAGCAGGAAGACTGCGAGGAGGAATACAGCTCCTCCCGCTGAAATGCCGATGATCGCATCTTTGCCGAGAACTCGCGAGCTCTTCTCCTCCTCCTGCACTGCTGGCACTGCTGGCACTGCTGCCGGCACCAGCATCGCACTGAAGTAAGAGAAGGCGTTTGTCTCTCCCTCCGCCATTCCAGTCGCCTGATTGTAGACCGTCCGAGAAACCTCCACCCAACTCCCCGTCGCCCTCCGCGTCTGCTCGAACCGCATCACTGCCAGCCGCATGCTCACAGCGTTCTTCATGATCGCCTGGTCCACTCGCAGCCTGACCGTCGCCTTGCCAAGGGTCAGGCGGATGGTCGTGGGCTCGAGGAGGAGGATTTCGCTCGCTAGCGTCAAGTTCTGCTGTAAGCTCTGGTTGACCAGACCCGGCAGGCTGCTGAGGGAGGGGATGGACGCGCGGACGTCAGGGGAGATGCCGAGGGGCCACACGCCGGGAGGGATGACGACTCCTTGCCCGTCGCTGAAAGTGACCGAGCAGGTGTCGACGTTGGAGCTGGTCCCTCCCGACGAGCCGCAGGTAGCCTCCACCAGTCTGACAGGTGGAGGAGTGGAGGAGAGGGGGAGAGGGGAGCTGGTAGGAGAGAATGAAGTAGAGGTCTCTGCGAAGTAGAGGTAGCTTCCATTGTACCTCACCACCCTTTGGCTCCCTGTGAGCTCGAACTTCAGCGTGACTGGCTCGCTGCTCGGGGAGGAAGCAGAAGGGACCGAGCAGGTCGCCGAGCTGTCGCTCTGCCATGTTGAGTTGGGGCAAGAGGTCTGGCCGATGGCGATTGAAAGCGATGACGTGGCACTGCCGAAGTTCTTGCCGAGGACCTCGAGGAGGTTCCCTCCTGTCACAGACCCTTGAGCTGGACTGATGCTGGAAGCCACGGGTAGATCGAAGCTGAAGATGTTGGTGAAGGTGGCGACAGCCTGGGCAACCTGCATGCTGACGTCTGATGCTCCACTCTGAGGGATCTGACGAGGAAGCGAGCAGACGACAGCCGAGCTCGCGATCCACTGAGTTGAGTTGCACGTCAGGCCTGCAACCTTGCCGATGATAGTGCCCGGCCTGAAGACTCCGAAGTTTGACCCGAAGATGGAGATGTTTTGAACAGGCGTGTAAGGGGCGTTCGAAGGTGATACCGACGTGATGACATTCTTGTCAAACGAGAAGAGATTCTCCGTCGTTCCCATCTGATTCATAACGCTCAGCACTACCTGAGCTGCTTCTCCAGGCAGGGCAGCTGGGGCCTTGCAGATGACGCTGCTCATGGAGCTCCAGGACAAGACGAGCAGGCGCGTCTGTCCCACCCTTACATGGAGGCTGGTGTCCCAGCGACCGAAGTTGGAGCCGACCAGCGTCAGCACGACTGACCCGTCCGGTGGGCCGTTGACCACTGAGAAGGGACCGGTGGTGTTGAGCCCGCAGGAGATCGGCTGACCCGTTGACAAGTTGAAGCAGCCGAGCTGAGGGCTGGGGTAGGCAAACGCGCTGGGGATGACGTCTGACCTCCTGCACAGCTGGGCTGTCACATCACACACCCCGACCCCTGCTGGGGCTCCCCTGCACACCAGAGCTGTGTCCGAGATCCAGTCAAGCTGCTGGCAGGTCGTGTCTCCCAACTTCATTCTCGTCTGCTGGGCTGAACCTCCGACCTCGGCACAGGAAAGGTTGCTGAGAGAGGTGGTCGCCCAGTACCTTCCGAAGTTGACTCCCCGGACTGTCACGTTGAACCCTCCCTCCTGGCTCCGACCTGCCACGGGCTGGAGGACCGACTGCAGCTTCAGCGCATCGTAGGTGATCGCCTGAGTCACGGAGGACGTCTGGTTGCTCGCAAAGAAGGCGAGCTGGAGGCTCCAGCCCTCGTCGTCGCTCAGGCTATAGCCGCTCCCCACAGTACAGAGCAGGGACGAGTCAGACTGCCATTGCGTGACGAGGCAGGCCGTGCTGCCTATGGTCAGCGACGGGCTCGAGTCCCAAGGGAGGAAGTTGGAGCCAAAGGCCGTGACTACCTGCCCTGGCTGAGCTGAGGGCGGCACGTTGGCTGGGAAGAGACTCGACAAGCTGGGAAAGTCATAGCTGAAGGAATTGGAGAGCGATCCGACCTGCAGGACCACCGAGGCTAAAACTTTGGCCGCGATGTCCGATCCAGCAGGAACCGTACAGCTGACTGAGCTTGTGGACTTCCAGCTGGATGCCGAGCAGGCTGTAGAGGCCACACGGAGCTTGGGAGAGACGTCAACGGCCCCCAGACCTGAACCAGAGAGTAGGAGAGGGTTTCCGCCGGTCCTGCCGGAGTTTCCTTGAAACAGCGTGTAGCCAAGGAAGAGAACCTGCAGAGCGCGTGAGAGGAAAGAGGAGAGACACGAGCCCCTCCTGCCTTCTGAGTGAAGGTCGAGACTGAAGGTGCGTCAGTGGAGACGAAATCTTGACTGGTCCTGTGCGACAGAATGAGGAGGTGGGCCTTGCAGGAGAGTCTGGCGTACCCGAAGCTCGTAGCTACCGACAAGATGACAGAGGCTGTGTGCTCGGTGAAGGAGACTTGTTTGACTACCACAGAGCTTGTCGACAGCCACCCAGTGCTCGGACTTGCCGTGTGTTTGACTCGAGCCTGGAGCCGAGGTCAGACGTCAAAAGCAGGGGCTGAGAAAATCCACCTTGGCAGTTGCAGAGGAGGTGGCGAAGTTTGCACCCTCGACTGTGAACCTCGTTGATCCCACGAGCGGCAGGTTGGCGAGACTTTGATTGGACTCGGCCATAGAGAACTTGACTGGCGAGGGCGAGTCGAAGGTGATCCCGCCCAACATACTCCCCACTGCAGCTGCTACAGTGACCTGAGGATCCATCAGCAGAAGCGACTGGTAACGAAGCAAGTTTCTCTCACCTGAGAATGTATCGTCCGTCCATAGCCGGGCAGGAGCTTTACAAGTAGTGAAGTCATGGAGGACCACTGAGTGACTTGGCACGAACTTCCTCCCACCCGGGCCTGTCCCGTACCGTCGAAGGCCCCGAAGGAGTCACCCAGCATGAGAACGCCATCCGCTCCTGCTGAGACGTTGCTGGCGACATAGACGGGGAAGTTGGTCGTGACGAACTTGGAAGGGGCAGGAGCGTCGAAAGTGAACAAGACGATCGACTTTCGCTGTGTCTCTATCGAGGAGTTTGAAGCCTGCTGCTGCCCTCCTACCGTGAAGTACAAGGGTGCGTCCGAACCCAACGAGGAGGAAGCTCTCAACCAGATTGCAGTGTCTGACATCCACTCGGAGCTCTCTGAGCTTGTCCACCCCAGCCTGCCCTGACCACTGCAGGCCACAACTGCGAAGTTCGAGCCGAAGGCCGAAACGATGGCGCCTGTCTTGGGTCCGTTGGCGGGGAGAAGGGAGCTGACGACAGTCTCATCGTAGGAGAAGGACTCCGTTAGGCCCGCAACCTGGGCGGAGACGCTGCAGACGATCGTCTGAGTGACATTGGCGTCATCGTAGCCCGAAGGAGGGAGAGAGGCGATGGAGCTATCTGAGAGCCAGGAGACTGCGGGGCTTGCGGTAGCAGTCTGACGAGTTGCCGGCGAAGAATGCGAGACCCCGAAGTTGGCACCTGACATGGTCATCGAGGACGAGGAGCTCTTGGGAGAGTTGCTGGGGGCGAGGTGGCTCATTGACATGAGATCGAAAGACAGGAGAGTATCTGCTGAAGCCGTAGCGATCAAGCTGGTGATGACAAGACTATGTAGCCCCAGCAGCCCTGACAAGGGCTTGAGGGCCAAGGAGGACGTCGAGAGCCACATGGTGAAGGCTGAGGCAGTCGGGAGGACTCGACTCCTGACTGACGAGTCTGAAGGGCCCAAACCAAGTCCGAAGGCCGTCAGGTGTGCCGGGTAGCGAGTCTCGGTGTTTGACCTGGACATGTTGAACACTAGCTGAGCGTCATACGACAAGAGCTCTGTCGCAGTGCCCACGAGGCTGGAGGCAGTCAGTTGAGCACTGAGCGTCCTGCCCATGCCCGCAGCCGCCATGCAGCTGACCTCCGCGTCCGATATCCACAGGGTCTGTGCCGTGCTGGTCCCAGAGATCCTTGCGCTCACTGACGTATCCCACAGCCCATAGCTGGACCCAGAGATGTTGAGCATCTGAGAAGAGTCCTGGACCAAGTTAGGACTTGCAGCAACAACCAAGACTGGTCTATCAAAGGTGAATGCATCCGTCACAGTGCCGACAGATGCTGAGCCCGTGAGGTTCCCCAAGGCCCCGACGGTCACGCTGACAGAGGCCATCCATGAGCTGCCTGCCGAACTCGCGGCAAGCAACGAGGTGTCACTCTGCCAGGACGTCGACTCAGAGGCCGAGCGGCCGACTCGAGCCAAAGGCGTCAGGTCGAATGGTGCGAAATTTGCCCCAAAGATGGTGCAGGAAGACCCTGGGGTAGGGCCGTTGGTTCTGAGCACTGCACTCACAGACGGGTCATCGTAGGTGAAGGCATCGAGCTTGGAGGTCAACCTGCAGGAATCAAGGGTTTAAGGACAAGTGTTGAGGCCTGAGGAGCGATACCTCGGCTCTGCAAGAGATCCGTTGTACGAGTAGCCTGCCTGAACCTCAACGGACAGACCAGACTGAGACCCGGGGGGGACGAGACAAATCAGCTGCGAGTCCGACAGCCATAGAGTAGATCTGCATGTTGACTGTCCGACTTTGATCTGCTGTGCCGCTGAAAGCTTCAAGTCAACGCGACTGATACTCTCCCTCTCTCTCTGTCTCTATCCTTCACTCCCCTTTCCTCAGACCTCCCGCTTTTCTCCTACCCAAGTGATTCACCTGACAAGCTCGTGGCTCCAAAGTTGAGCCCGACGGCAGTAACGCGAGCGTTGCCGCTGGTGGGTCCATTGCCCTTGACCACGGCGACGAGTGAAGGCGCGTCAAATGAGACTGCATCGAAGATCGTGTACTTGATGTTTGTCTGCAGTCAACGCCATCAGGGCATCGCCACGTTCAGCTTCCAACCAGCTCGACTTGCCTGGAGGGTCACAACAATTTCTGACGCGCCCATGGCGAAGCCGGACGTCAAGAGCTTGCAGGTGGCAGAGGTCAAGGAGATCCACTGAGTTGTGTCGCAGGCTGTGCCGATGAATCTGATCTTCATGTCGGAGGGCTGGTTTCCGAATCCTGCGCCGAAATGTCAGGATAGAGGGCAAGAAGTTTGTAAGGTTCGGCCTGACCCTGGTACGCTCCGAAGGGACCGCCGCCGTACACGGTGATCGCTGACTGGGCAACGCATGGCACGTTGGAGGGACTCACTGCAGTGAGAGTCGCCTGGGAATGCCCACAAGAGAAGCTTGCAAAGAGGCAGAGGAGGAGGAGGAGGAGGCGGTCTAGATTTGAATTTCTGGAGTTCATCTTCCTGTACAAGAGAGACTGTCTGTTGAGTTGGGCGATCCGTTCGAGAGGAGCAGCGAGGAGTACGTGCATGTTGTCTTCTTCCTGCTGCTTCTCATCCTCCTCTCCCTCTTCGCTTCTCCTCCTCCTCCTTCAGCACTGAGTCCAGAAAATTCGCGCTGCCCCACATTTTGCCCAACCCAAATTTCTCAAGAGGGGTAGAGCACTCAAGCTATATTCTGAAAAACACCATCTGTATCCCCTAAAAACTCTTGAGTCCAATACAGCTAAATCATGATAAGTAATAAAAACATATGGTCAGATATTTACTTATTCACTCAGAGGACCACCCGTCAACCCTCACACACAAAGTTCAGCTCCTGATACGGATCTCCGTTACATCTGTCAAACGGGACCCGGAAAGTCCGTAACGGTCCATCGGAGTAAACTTATGAAGGTTCCTGCTGCTCCTGCTCCTGCTCCTGCTCCTGCTCCTGCTCCTTCTCCTGCTCCTGCTCCTGCTCCTGCTCCCTGATTTCCTCGCTATACTCAAAATAATTCGTGGTATTCGTTTTCAGGCGTATCTTTCCTCAAGTGTCAAGAGCGGAATATAAAGAAACTTGATCATCAAGGATCCTCAACACAGCGTGTTCATTGCTCCATGTGCAACAGCAACTCAATCGTGAAAGGGGGAATACATCATCCTGACTTGACTATGAATCGATTCTCAAGCATCTCGATGTTAAACTCTCCGTTCATCGTCAAAATTTCAAAGAGCTTGGCATCTTCCTGTTGATCAGCAGGTCACTCCCCGATCAAGTTTCACGTCTCGAGCCCACAGACCTCTTCAGACACGCAGTATCTCCTGCAGAAGGGTAGGTTAAGAAAGGGCTGCAGGAGAAATCACTACTCCTCACCTCAAGTCCTCGCTACTCATCTCATTCGTCGGTCTGCCATTGACAGACACTATCACGTCGCAGCAACACAACGATCCCTCCGGTCGTCCAGCCTCCTGAAACATCCCAAAACCGTGAGGCATCCCTTGCATACAAACACTAGAAAACATTTTCGATCAAGATCTGGTACGGCCCTTCCGTCGGGCTGACGTCTATCCCTACATCTGTGGTCCAGTCACCCGAAAGAGCACAGGTGTGTAAGTCTTGCCGCTCTCAAACGAGACCCTGACGTCCTCTTGAGGCCCCTGCATGGCGCTCAGACGGGGAGAAGTCAGACGGACAGTACTCTTACCATGACTGACTGGGAGGTAGTCAGGACGACCTCCCTGAGAGTCAGCTTCCCTTGAATCTACAAAGCGTCAGGAGATCTCGTCTCAGGGTGCCAGGCTTCACCACAAAGTCATTCCGTCGGATCCACCGCTCGATCCCATCGCTCCATCTCACGCAGTACTCCTCTCCGTTGCAGGCCAGGACCCGCCCCACCTCCTTGCACCCCAGGAAAGAGACTCCCAGGCCGACGCAAGGCTGCAGGAGACGCAGGACTTGAGCCTTGTTGAGGTGGTACACAGAGACGCCGTCGATGGCGTGCAGCCAGCCCCCGCTGAAGGAGCTCGATGACTAGATGAGGCACTTTGTCAAGAACTGACCTCGAGACTTTAAATTGCTGAGCTGGACTCTGAGGGCGAGGACGGTTACAGGCATTCGTTACTAGCGAGGAAGCTGTACCTGGTCTTGTACGGACATGATCCTGTAGGGCCCTCTGCATCTCACAATCCTGATCTGTGAACAGGGTCAGATCTTGCAAGAAATTTCTTCTAGCAGTTCAACAGGAGGGAGGAGGTGGAGGATTTCTAGCGAGCTTCCGTGCTTCATCAACTTGATGGATAGAATCTCTGCCGACATCATCAGGGGAGCAACCAAGGGGGACAAGCATACCGCTCAAGTCCTCAATGCGCAAAGGAAACATCACACCGTAAGATCTTGCAAGGACGAGGCTCATGGAGGTTGTTGAAGACTGTTGAGGTCAAACGTGCATCTCACATCAAGCAGCAACACTTCTGGTAACGTCACCTCTCGATTCATTGCGCCATTCTTGGCTAGTTCCAAATTCGTTAGCCGAGAATTGTCGATAACAATTAAAATCATCACCATCATTTTCCACAATTCCATGGCCCCCGGACTCTTTCTTCTTCAATCCATACGTTAGTAGCATCTTGCATGTCTAGTTAGAAATGCGTACTCCCATGAAAAGGCTCTCAGCGATCTCAACTTTGAGGTTATGAGTGGATTTTCCATCAATCATATGGATGATGTCCCCTCTGCTTGCAAATATTACTTCTCCTACAGACCTGATTGCTCACCTTCTCAGAATGTCACTCCCCTTCACCTCAGTCTGTAATCATATCCGTCAGCCTGTCAAGTTGGAAGCAAAACTCACCCGATACGAGACATCAACAACTTGAAGGAGGGCCTTGGTAGTCACTTCCACTTGTTTGCACCTCTCCATTCGGACCATCCTCGTCATCACAGCTTTCTTTGTTGGTTCTTCCTCGACTGTTGCTGCTGGATCCTCAGCAAGCCCCTTCCTCTGCAGCAAGGATCATTCCTACCCCCCCCCCCTCTTAGCTTGCTGACCAGTCTGTCAAACTTTTGGCATGTTGCCAGCCTTTCCCTCCAAGACATCGTCGCCCAATCATAAGGTTCTGTTGAAGAAGTTGCATGTTCCACAAGCTCGGCATCGAGCGCTTTAAATTGTCTCCACGCCGCATCTTCCGCAGCCTCGTTGGACGACTGGCGGCTCTCGGTGTGTAGTTTGACCCTTGCCTTGGCCGCCAGGAGAGTTTGATAGGATTGTATTAACTTGGAGCTCTGCGTCCTTGTACTGATTTCACAATTTCAACAAGGGATGATCATGATGACAGATGTCAAAGATCTCGGCACTACCTTGACAGATGCCGATGTTCAACGGCCTCGACATGTTTGCTTTGGAGCACCCTGCCGCGTGCAAGCAGCTGCAACCTGACACTTTCGTAATGCAAAATGTTCGTCAACGTCGAGACTTTCAATCTTGCATCGGCCAGATTTTCTTTGGTGAATGAAGTACAAGAGCTGGGATCCGAAGCCAAACTTGTCTGGACGATCTTTTGGGTCAATAGCTCGTTTTCCATCTGCCACAGCACAGTTCATTTCTCAAGATGAATGAAAGCAGGACGGAGAGAAATAAAGCAGGACGGAGAGAATTAAAGCAGGACGGAGAGTACCTCGAGTGCCTTGCAAGAATCTTCCAGCCTTCGCTTCAGGATGCATTGCTCCAGGTATTCCATCCCCCCGCGCATCAGGTAGTATTCTTCTGTTACATTCCCGCGCTCCTTAGTGACTCTGACCTGCACGAACGTGCCTTGTCTGCGCCACATGTCATGGAAACAGTGGAAGGCAAGGAGCATCCTTGCCTCCCTTGCAGATGAGTGTGCACTTGTACCGCACATCCTTCACCAGTGTAAGCTCTGCCATCGACGGCTTCCACGGTGTCGCCAGGTTGGATCTCAGCATGGAATGCCGAAGTCCCTCCTACCACATGCGCGCAGACCGGCTTAAGGGCCCCATCAACCATCATCTCGCTGGCAAGTCAAGGCGTCAGGTTCATCACATCGCTCATGGCCTTCCCGCCCCCTCACCTCAAGAAAATCCCGAACAAAAAAGTCAATTCAACTCGGAGTCCGAGTTCGGAGGTTCCGGCGACTCGCCGGAAGCTGGAGCCACTCAGGCCCGGCCGGTTCCTCCGAACTCGAACTCGGATGATCCCGCGGCCCGGCGGTGCCACTCGGAGACTCGGACACCGGCGTGATTCGGACATGATCGGATGGCCATCGAGAAATTAATCGCTAGTAGGCCATACTTTTTACTCAAAGTTAAGTTAAGCCACATAACATCATAGCGTTCTCAGTGATGAGCCGCCTGCTGCGATGCTGACTCGACTCACAGCGATGATGTTCAAACTACTTCGTTCGTAATCCGATCGCTTTCAAGACGGTCATTGAGTTCGGACGCCAAAGTAGCTTGAAGGGCACTTCTAATTACATATTCGACCACTGGCCATATCCCAAGTTTCCCACTACCTTTCTCTCCTGACTCTCTTCTCAGCTTTTGCTTGATGCCGACTGCTATGGACCATCGCTAGCGTCAGGGTCTCAGTTCCTGGTCCCAAAGTTCGAACGCTTATCATGACTTGAAGTTTCAAATGATGGCTGTCAGAGTGAACGAAACTGACGTTACATCTAACGTACAAAGCCCTGCCAATTCTCCGAGCGATCAGTAGGAAATTCTGGAGCGAGCATGAAAATATGGACCGAGTACGAGTCAACCTATACACAAAGAATCAGCCATGTACCGACAACCAGGGAATCGCGTGCAAAGAACACTAAAGAACAACATTACAGGTTTGGAATCCATCGCACTCAGAGGAGGTTCTCAGAGGAGGTTCTTCACATCCTCCTGCGAGGTTCCCGGAGGGACAGCAGGCTTGTAGGGCCTCTCGTGGATCCACATCTGCACCAGCTTCAGTGCTGTACACACTCAAGATTTTCGGTCAGGACGGACCTGTGCGATCCACTTGGTATCGAACGCAGGAGATCCGGCGTGCAGGGTCCGGGGATCAGGAGTCCCGTCCTTGAAAGCTGGGAAGAAGAGCAGGGCTTTCCCCTTCTCCGGCCTCACTTTGAGATCCAGCTCCTTGAAGGTAGTCATGCCCCCTCCACTAGCTGGGACATCGTTCAAGTAGACCAGGAGAGTGGCTAGTCTCTGCCCTCCGTTTGCGGCCTCCTCTTTGGGAACTGCGTCCTCGTGCCAATTGAAGAAATCTCCCATCTCATACCGCACTATCTGGGGCTCCTCCATCTGCTCAACGCTGATTTCCGGTAGAAGAGCAAGGGCTTTTTTTATCAGGGTTTCACACTTGCTGTACTTAACGAACCACGTGGTGCTCTGCCGATTACTCCCTGTCAATGAGCCTCCGAAAGTCGCTGAGTTGATCTTGATAGAGTCCCCTGTGCTCTCCCCGTTGACCCCCAGATTTGCGTAGGTCTCGCACGAAGAATCATCGAAGAATCTATCGATGCAGAAAACCGGCGGGTCCACGTTCACAACCTTCAATCCAGGAAATGACAGGTCTACACTAATGTGATTCGAAAGGTCTACTTTGCCTCCAGCAGCTTTCTTTGTATTCTTCACCTTGCTTGCTTTCGAGGAAGAGCATTTCAGAGTGTGTAGTCCTGACCCGATAGGCAGTCTATGAACCCTGCCGACGTGACGAGCCAGGCAAGGCGAAGTCACAGCAAAGCTGCAAGGAGATGTAAGAGCAAAGCTGCAGACCCTAGCAACGCTGATCATGAGCAACGCGCAGGCACGAGCATGGTATCGAAGCTGAGCGACTACCATCGCGCCCCCCCTCTTTAAATCCCTTGGTTGTTCCCCGACTTTCTTTATTGACTGAAAAAATTAGAGGTAACATACAGTCTTTAAAATTAAGGGGTGTTGCCTTAAAATAAGCCCCTTGTGGTCTAGCATACGAGGTCAAACAGCCTACTTGGCGAGGCGGAAGCGGGATAGGGCCGTTGACCAGATGTACATGGCGAGTCGCTCGCGCAGCCCCCCGCGAGCATCAAGATTCACAGACACAACCAGGTGACTCCTCCTCCTCCTCCTCCTGCTCCTCCTCCTCCTCCTTCTCCTCCTCCTCCTCCTCCTTCTCCTCCTCCTTCTCCTCCTCCTCCTCCTCCTCCTCCTCCTCCTCCTCCTCCTCCTCCTGCTCCTCCTCCTGCTCCTCCTCCTGCTCCTCCTCCTGCTCCTGCTCCTGGTGTTA